CTCTGCACTATCCTATCCGGAGGATCGTGTCCATCGTGGCAGTGGGTGGACATCAAAACATTTTCAAATCTGGTTTCCCTCTCACGAGGAAACGCCACGCTACATTCCTGCTGCCAGAGGTTTGGTTTCAGGGCCCACGCGTTATGCCATTACGAGTGGCATAAATAAGAATTCATGACGTGGAATCCTTCTTTGATTTATTCTTTACCCCTGAGATCATCAGCAGTATTGTCGACATGACACACCTGCATGGGGGACGTTCGGTGGCAAAGTGGAGGGCTGTTGATGCCACAGATGTTTGAGCAAACATTGGATAGGATAGTGCAGAGGAATGTAGCGCAGCTACGGGATGGGATCCTCTGTGTCCTCTCCACTTTCAGGGGAAGGGTCAGACAAAGAACGATCAGACTCCACCACAAACATCTGATCATTTCTCTAAGCATGGCTTCACGTGGCGGCGCAACAAATATTCTTGTTACTCCTGGGGCAATCTCTGGTGCCATCATCCCCTTTGAGGAGGAGATCACGAAGCACTTTTGTGAACATCAGGCTTTTTCCATCTAAATGGTTTTGTAGTCCTTCATACATCTCAACCTCATCACCATCTTGTTGTTCCTCAGCAGCTCCTCAGCAGCTCCTCAACCTCCTGAGCAAAGGACCTCATCGATTCCTCTGTATCAACGTGGGATTCGGGGCAGAATTGTTCCTTCTTCTCTGCCCCCATCTGATAAATTAACTGTTTGGCAAAAAAGTGTTTTATCTCTGTGCCGACTCCTTTCAAGCACAGTTCAGATCCACACCAGATTGTCCTTCTCAGGGTGTTTCTGTTTCAGAGGATGAGTCCTGCAGCTGAAGTTAGGGGCTGCATGAGACCTCTTGTCCCACAGAGAAGCTCCTCTTCATCTTACTGCTTGTTGCGTATCACAGGAATGAAATGACCATCCAGCCAAACTACACATATTTGAAGCTTTGGCTTTGCAGCCAGGTGTTTTTATTTACTTAAAGGAGTGTATGTATCGCTGTGTATGTCTGTTTGCTAAAGAGACATTATCAAAGGACTTTGAAGTTCAAACAATTCAAAACATCGAGGTCAAGCAGGGTCAAGATCATACATCTGTTTACCTCAAAGACACATGAAACGGCACAAATGAAAAACAAAACGCCATGAGAGCACACTTACTCCCGTCTCATTCTCGCGCACACACACACACACACACACACACACACACACACACACACACACACACACACACACACACACACACACACACACACACACACACACACACACACACACACACACACACACACACACACACACACACACACACACACACACACACACACACACACACACACACACAACAGGCAAAGAAACCAAGAAATGACAAGCATGTAATTCAATGGTAAAATGTCACATCTGGTTTTTACAGTAAAAAGGACAAATTGAACTATTTTCCTCCAATATAAAACCCTGACATTACAAAATGCATGATTTTATACCGGTATGGCGGAGAGATCAAAAGATGTGGTTATAATGGGAGTGGAAGTGGACATTTTTGTCCGCGAGTGGCTAATGTGTGACTTTTTGGTTTAATCTGATTTTGTGCAAAAACTAATTATCCACCAAAATCACTGTTGTTGCTAATCTTTGACATATCCAAGACTGTGATGAAAAAAAAGCCGACCCCCCCCAACATTTATTATATGGAAAATAACTGCCTTTTTGTGCATGTTTTTCATAGAAAACGCAAATTCGTGTTTTCAAACTGGCAGTTAAAGGGTTAAAATCCTGAACATAATTTAACATTTGGTATTTTTGATCAGGACTGAAGTTGATTGAAAGATTTAACACCAAAAAGTTTGAAAAAAATATGAATCTGTTGTCATTTTAGAGCAGATTTTGGAAGTGGACATTTTTGTCCCGAATGACTAATTTGTAACTTTTTTTGTTCAATCTGATTTTGTGCAAAAACTAATAATGTAAAAAAATCCATTTTGTTGCTAATCTTTGACATATCCAAGACTGTTATAAAAAAAGAGCCAGTCCCCAGATATGTATTTTTTGGAAAATAACTCATTTTCTCTGTTTTCATCATGAAAAAAAACAGCGGTTTCATGTATTCAAAATGGCATTTAAAGGGTTAAAATCCTGAAAATGATTACATTTTTGGTATTTTCTATTAGGGCGGAAGTTGCTTTAAAGATTGAACCCAAAAAAGTTGTGAAAAAAACCTTTTAATATAATGTTTTTATCAAAGTCTTTTGCAGTGGACATTTTTGTCTCGAATGACTACCGTAATTTGCGTAGTCCAATCGAATGATACCGGAGGGTTAAATGCATCAAATATTAGTGTGTGTATACCAGGGTTATCCTTATCCACGTCAGAGTCCAGCTCCTGACACGAGACACAGTAGAGTTTCTGCTGTTTGTCCTGGAGAAGAATTGTCTGAAAACCAAAAAAAACATACTTATTTCATGACTCATGTTACTCAACTCCAGGTTGTCTACATTATGAAGGAACTACCAAAATCGTAGCATAAAAATCCAACAATCAAAAGCCTCTCCTTACTCACCCCACACACATCACAGCAGTCCCCCAGCATCCTGTATCCTTTGAGCAGGTAGCCTCCCATCAGCTTGCTGATTTTGTCTTGTCGCTCCTTGCGAGCCTGGATCACCTTCATCTCTGCTTCTGTTGGTGGCTCCCAATCAAAAAAGTCCTTGTCATCTGGGGTCAGAAACAAAGTGCTGATTTAATAAAATGGTTTCATTACATTACATGTTACTTGTTAGACGCTTTTAGCCAAAGCGACTTACATACTCAATACTGTGGGCAATCCCCAGGGACAAACACTGTACAGCACTATTATCAGTGCAAAACACAGTGCTTTGTGGTGATAATATCACATATAAACAGAGCTGGGAGAAGTTCTTAGATCTTGTACTTGACTAAAAGTAGAAGTACCAGAGTGTAGTAATACTCTGTGACAAGTAAAAGTCCTGCATTCAAACATGTTACAAGAGTAAAAGTACAAAAGTGTTAGGATCAAATATACTTCAAGTACTAATTGTGCAGATTTGCCCATTTCAGAATAATATAACTTACATGTTTTGATTATAATTATTGATGCATTAGAGTGTTATAAAAGCTGGTAAAGGTGGAGTTAATTTGCATGAGATTTGTGAAACCTTAATTCTATTTGTGAAAATACAAGAAGGCATAAAGGCTGGCCCAGCTGGGAGGTTCACTCTGATTCTGATCCTGGCATGCTGCAGCAACCTCAGCCTTCCACCTCTGTTTGTATTTTCACAAATAGAATAAAGGTTTCACAAATCTCAAACTGTGTTATAAAGAATCTTTAGCCTCTGTGGGATAATCCAGTCCAGATTTGATGAGTGTAGGTCTAGTGGTTTTAGATCAGGACCTGGTCTAATGTGGTCTACATGTAAAAAAAAAAGCAGCAAAATCTCCCTTTTTGTATTTTCACAAATAGAATAAAGGTTTCACAAATCTCAAACTGGGTTATAAATAATCTTTAGACTCTCTGGGATAATCCAGTCCAAATAAATCGGCTATGCAGCGATTTAAGAGGTTCAAACACGGAGGATTGTTCGCTCAGCGCTGTACATTAAATGTCCCTTAACTTTCCCCTTAACTGCCGAATCGGATGCTCTGAATCGGAAGCCAACTTCAGCGTCGTCAAGTCCCTGACAATTGTACTAAATTCCAGTACTTGAGTAAATGTACTCAGTTACATTACACCACTGCATATACACAGTTATTGGCACTGCTGCAACGTGTGTGTATACGTTGCGTTAGCCTTTAGTCTACTATATACATTGGATTTTACAGGACTTTTACACTGATTAGAACATTTATACACAACTATGTGCTTGGTGCGTTGTTGCAAAACGTGATTAGCATTGCCGCAGTGCTCTGCTAGGAAATAACAAGCTAGCTAGCAAACCAGCCGGGCTAACGTCAGCTAACGGTGGTGACGAAAACAATGTTGGTACAAATAAAAGTACACACTAGAATGCTACATACATGTGTGACAAAACACCTATACACCACAACAAACCAGGTGACTGTGAGAAATGTCAAGTTAGCTTACTTATAAAGCTCATAAGTTAACAAACCTCCATTCAGAGCCATGTTGCTTCAGTGCTGCACGTTGTGCGTGATGACGTCAGAATCCTCAAGTGTCGTCTTCTTCTTCTTTGAGGTTTTAGGCATCAGTTTCTTCTGCTGCCTCCCTCTGGATAAACAATGTAAACATGTTTTAATTCTGTATTGAGCCAATGGTAAGTCCCTAACGTTAGCTCTCCAAAGATTTAAATATGTTATTGTCATATGCGCAGAAGCTACAGTGTAGTTATGGCAACTACAATCTTAAGTCCTAGGCTGCTTCAACAATGCTACACAAATATATATATAGGACATAAACAATCAAAAATAGTGCAAGAACAACATAACAAATACAAATAGTGAAAATATAAAGTAGCCATTTTCTGTCCTCCACACTGTGTCCACACACACACACTATTTTTGGTTTATACTGGTTCCAATTGTTATATCACTTATATGCCTAGGTGATATCAATCAATCACAATATATCCAACAATACAAAAACAATCAAGGTATAGGTGCACAAATTCATTGACCTGATAGCCTACTTGATTTTGGAGGAGAAAACTGTTTTCAGATTATAATAAACCTAATGAGCTGTTTAGAGTTAATACATTTGTATTTTTGCTGACTTCTGAAAATGTTCATTTTGTATTTTGTTGTTTTGTATCAGTTCTCACTTTTATTATCTGATCTACTGTTGAACTGAGGAAAAACAATCTAGCCATTTCATTGTTGTCCGGGGCAAGTTGAAATATGTCGATTGTTTCAAATAGTTATGACAAGCAAGCAATTTAATTTCCACAGAGTGAGACACAGAAAAATAATCAGCAAACACAGAAACCATCCCACACCAAAGTTATTCTGTTTTTAGAATATTTTTTATTAATTATACATTTTTCGACTTCACATCAAAAACTCAATCTAATTTAAAGGAAAGAGAAACGTTTCAAAAATAAGTGTAACGGTGTACATCAAACAATATAGGCTTTTATAGGCTTCAATCTGAATTCCCATCTTCCAATCACGCTCTGCATGGAGGGGGAAATGATTGTGTGCATATATGTGTGTTTCTACAGTCTTTGATCTCTAAATGTTACATACAATTAAGCAGGGAGAGTACTCCCTCTACAGCTAAAGGACATTGATTAAAACAAAAACACATGTGAGTGTCCTTAGTGGGTTGACAAGGTAACTATGTTCAGTTCCTCTTTAATGTTAAATGGGTTCATGACATCGTCACATATTTTTTCTTGGTTTTGTGCCACATTCCCTCGTTATCTTCCAGTCTTTCTGTGAGTTTCATCTCCTCCTCATGGTTAACATCCTTTCTAGGAAGAAGCAAACACACAAAGAGAAGATTACAATACATACTATATTAAATTGTTTCAACATTTGCTGCATGACACATCCCCTAACATTCAATATTCACATAAAATGAGTATTGATGATCACTGAACTGTGTTCTTTGTGGCCTGCCACAAAAGTGACCGTATATCAAATCATATTTTATTCCCACATCTGATAATTATCCATATGGATAAATTGTGCGAATGAACCTCACCTTTACTATGGAGTGGTCTCTTTCAAGACACTGTAAGAGAAGAACAAGAAAATGATAATTTCATTTATAAAATGCTTTGAACAAATGTCACCTAAATTGTTCTCTTTACTTGGCTATGTGTGTACAATAAATTGCAGCAAAGTGAATTCATACTTACACTGATGTGCAGTCTTTACTCTGCAGGAAGAAAATAGAAAAAGAGAAGATAATTAGTAGCCATCGGGTGCATTGGTAACCGTAAATCTTGCATTTGTTTGTGTGAGTCATTGAAAAAATACCTTGAGGTTTGGGGTGCATGAGCATCAATGGCAGCTCCAGTGTGACATCACTGCAGAGAAAACAAACCAGCCAATCAGAATAAAACAGGTATTTTGTGATCACTGCTAATTGGCTGCATGAGTCAGGATATGATTTTAAATAAACTTGACAAACGTTATTTGGAAAATAGCATTTTCGGATAAACTTTACTCACCTGGAAGTGAGGCCACCAAGCAGGCTGCATGAAGACAAGACAGAGGTTGTTTTAGTTTATTCATAACTTCTTAATTACGTTTCCATGCACCAAAAGTACTTAACTAGGAAAGGACACCTACCCTCCTCCGGCCACCATGAGGTTAATTTTAATCTTGTAGGAAACCAGGATTCCCAAAACCTCTTTTTCTAGACTCTGTTGCAGCCTGGGGAGAAAAAAGAATAACAAGGATTTGAGGGATTAGAAGGTTTAATATAGTTACGTATCTTTTAAAGTTAATATACAGCAGTTAATATACAGCAGTTAAGACACAGTGTGAGAATCCTACTTTAGACAGTGCACTTACATAGTGGTGGAGGCCAGGTTAGTGTCCTCATCCTTCAGTCGCCCGTCCAGTGACAGCCCCCTCTTCTCCTTGTTTTCAGCCAGCAGGGGGGTGATAGTCAGAGTATTTTCGTAGGTGGCGTTGGACTCCACTGTCTCTCTGTACACACAAACAAACACATACATTAACACAACAAACTGGAGCTTGTGTTTTCGTTGATTTTCTTTTTACTGTGGTTATTCAGTTGTCTGTCCACCTACCCAAACTCTTGGCAGAGAACAGCCTTGGTGTATTTGTCTGCTGAGTAAAGGACGATGTCTGTGAGTTGTTCCACTGTGAGAAGAAGGAAACAGATGATTATGCTTTGCTCCCAGTAACAGTGATGTTAAAGTGTTTCTGTGAAAAGAGGTACCCACCACTGATTTTGAATTTCTTGACTGTTTTGTTGCTCTCGTTGTTGATTTTGATTTTGATGGGGATTGGTTCGCCATGGAAGTAGAGCTGTTCTCAAAAGAAACAACATAAAACAACAAGTTGATGCTGAGATATTGCGGTATTTGTGGTCTTAGTCTGCTTTTACACTCACTCTGGTAACATTAATGTTGTTTTAACGGAAAAAAATACACTTTAAACGGTAAGGTTTTGCTACTGTACATCTTTTTCCAGTGAAGCTTCTAGGTGAACAGGCTTGTCGGACATCATGAAGCTTTTGCAGATATCAGCCTTGGGCCCGGCGCCAATATGGGAGGGGGCAAACTGGATTTTACGAATGACAAGGCGAGCTGTGTCCCTGGGGGAAAAGGGGATAGCCAAAGTAGAGAAAATGTTAGTCAGGCAACATAGTGAGACAGACGGTAGAAAGTTGAAGTATGGTAGTGAAAAAGACAACGTGAAAGTGTGCTCACTTCTTTTCAATCTTCTCATCCGGATCGGACTGCTTATTAGCAATGTAAGTTTTGATCTCAAAGTCGACACCACAAGCCTGCGAAACACAACATAAGATGTAAGCAGCCATTGTAATAAACAAACCTGCTTCCTCACTACAGGTAAGGCGAATGGTGTGGTCAGATTAGCACAAGCTTTACCTTCCCCTGATCATCTGGTCCAGGCTGCAGACACACTGAGCATGGCAGGTTTTTGGGAATCTAGGGAGACACAAATGAACATTTATAAATAACAGACGACTTTATTTACTTTGAGATCTGTTTAATAAATATATATTTTCGGATATTGGTTTCAATCAATTGTTGGCAAAAGACTCTGGTTCTGTGGTCAAAACATTCACGAGTTGTCATGTGATTTTGAGTATGGCATACTTTTTTATTTTATTTAGTATGCTCTTAACGGATTATATATAAAACATCAATTTATCTCAAACCAATTAAACTCCCTATGTATATCAAACAAGTAGTTTATTCTACCATGACCCTTGCCACACACAAAGCAACTCAACAATTTTGAGCTTTAAAAAAAGTGCTGTTTGCTTTTAGTCAGTATTAAAAAGGTATAACATCACCCCAAAGAAATGTGCGTAGATTCAATTAAACCTAAAACAAAAGCTATAATGTGTGGATGAGATCTGAAACTCTTTACACTTGTGTCTTAACATCTTGCATACTTCAAAAGAGAAGGGTTTTGCGTCATCTCCCGCCTTCTTCAGCAGGGTGTTGTGCATGTCGGACAGAGTGGGCTTGTGGCTCTCAGGGTAGATCTGGAAGTGTTGGATCCAGATGTCCTTCCTGAAGCACAGGCCCATCACATCCAGGTCCTCACTACCGTACCGGAAAGCACATGCCAGCTGCACAAACACTGTCAACACACAATGGTAGAAACATATTTTACTAGAGTATTTTACTTCTCCACATGACTCAACTTGGGGTTTGTTTTTTTGGACTTTGAAATTGTAACTTTTTATCATGTTACCTTTCCTGTCTCCAAAATCCTTTGTGTCCAGCTTCACAACACCATCTGTAAAGGTAACAGTGCAGAAGACATTATATCAATCATCCTCGACACACAGATGTAGACACACACACACACTCAATGAAGAAGGAACGTACCGACTTGGTCCACTTTGTCCACGTGGTCCACATAGTCTCTCTTCCCCAGGTAGAGCGTGACCTGTCAGATAAAGAGAATGGAAAACTGGAGTTAAAAGTCTGTTTCCAGGTATTTTTCATTGTTGAAAAAAAAACACTAAACAAATCAAACAAGGGCAGAGGAAAAATAAAAATCAACACATATAACGTACCCCTCCGTTTCCACTGGTCTTCTTGAAAACCCTGTGAAAAAAGCAGATGAGAAACACCCATTTGAAGAATATATTTGTACAGCTTTGTTCCCCAAAAAAAAACCGCTCTTACTTTGGCCGCAACAACAGACATTATTTTGTACCTGGAGCTATTGACCTCCTTAACGAAGCTAGAGTATGAGTTGATGCACGTCATCCATGCACTGCATGTGTGTGTCTGTGTAAAGTATTTGATTTGATTTTCTTGAATGTGTATCACTGTGATATCTTGTTTGATTGTTGTTTAATTGTTCTTTTTGGTATTAATTAAGAAACCTTGACTTTGACTCTGACCTACAGTACATCCAACAACAGTTGCATGTAGTTGCAGGACAATGGATTTGTAATAGTAAATAAAGTAAGTTTGTGATTGTCCATGAGTACATCCATTGATACACTCTAAAAACGAATTCAGGCGACCTTTCACCTCCACTTAATTAAATGCATGGTTGCAAGATAGAAATGTGAGTTAATTGATTTAGATAAACATTTTAAGTTGCAAACATTAATTTATAAGTTGTGTTGACGTAATAATGTTGGTAATTACATCAACTTAATATTGTGTGTAATTTGAACTCTGATTTCTGCGTTAATTGACTTAAAACAAAATTCAAGTTGTAGTAAGTAATGCAATTGGCTTGATAACTTAATTGTTCTACACCTTGAGTTAAGGATTTCAAGTCCACTCCCACTTAGCGTGCCTGGACAAGTTCTGACAGTTAAGACAAATATAAATACTATACAAAGGACACTTTAAGGTGAGTGTCATCTTTTGTCATTCAAATACAGTAGATAGCATTGTAGTTGCACTGTATAGGCAAATTGCTATTTGACCAAAATTAGCAGCCTTTGAACTGTGAATAGTTCTGTGAGAGGATACAAAGTAGTAGAGGCTACTGTGAGAGTAAAAATACTTTGGTTACTATTGTGATATCGCTTTTTATTCAAAATGAATCTCGGTGAAGCAGATCAAGGACATGCTTCTTGAGGTAGGATCGTTATTTAGAGTTGTCATTGAAATGCAAGTTGTTGGCAGTCATCCATTCAGAATATATTCATTTAGGTCATTTCTCTTTTTTTCCTTTTTCAAAAATAGCACAATACAATTGAAGTACGCAGAGAACTATAGCCATCCGCTGCCTTGTCGTGTACCTTGGAGAAAAGGAAGAGGACCTTTTCAAGGAGTTTAGCGACGTAATTTAAAATCTTGAAATAACATCAAATCCATGGGCAGAGTGTAAAAACACAGGACAAAAGCACTGCTCTCTGTCAGTTACCTTTTGAAGCATATTGCACTTGTAGCCACACCCCAATCAATAATATCTTAGCAACGTTCAGCATGGATAGGTGTTGACAGCAATGGCATGGGAAAAGGATTGTGTAACATTTGAAAAGTGGCTTCTGCTCTTCTGCTCCAGTTCACATATTGTATGGAACCAGCTAAAAAGATGAGAAGGTACACTAAAACTTGCACGGTTGTGATTGACAAAATCTGTCCACATGCATTCAAACACTAGGCAAAGTACTCAAAAGCACCTCTGTGTGTCTTCAGGACCACATTGCCATGACGACACACACATGCAGACTCAATAGGTGGAAACAATACCAGTGTTGCTTTAGCAGCTGGTAATAATGGCTCTGAATTAGCTAAGAGTGACAGTTTGAAAAGTATGCAGTTACCTAATTCATTATCTCTTATGCGCTAACCTATTATTTAATGTGCTTCAAAAGGACATGAATATCGCCTTCATCAATGACCGGTCCACCCCAGGATCTGACCATACGATGGCAGCCATCGTGGTCGAGGGAAACAAATGAATGAGCATTCTGCGTTAAATGTGTTCATACTGTTTGAAATAATGACTGTCGGCAGTGTAAACATCTTTGTTACATCTTTTGTAAAATGGATGTGTGTGATCTGCAGATTGGTGGCCATTGAGAGTTTGTTTCTGTAGTTTTACAACAACTTTACAGATTTTACAGATTTGGCACTGGTTTTAAATATGCAAAGGCCTCTAACTTCGATGTGATGGCAGCATGTATTTGCTGTGTCCCCATGTCCCATGGTAATATGGCTAATGTGTTTATTTATTATTTTTGGGGCAATTTAAATGTGTGTTATTTATCTTTTTTTTCTCAAGATTTAAATGAAGCTCAGCGCAAGTTCTTTCAGGAAGACTGGGTGTATATACATTCACTCCACAGCTGCATATAATCAGCTCATCACAGGCGTTCTCTTTAACCTATTACATTTCACCTCATTCTCCAGCAGCCAATCAACGTGCTGCAGTCAAACTTTAAAATGGTTCTCCTCTCTCCTGCAGTCAGCTGTGATTTCAGGTGTTCATGCACCTTATCATGGCATGTGTCAATAAATGTTCAAACTAAATGAAGGCTGAATTGAAAAGTGAATTGCCTAATATTTTTGTTGTGGAATAAATTAATTTCTTTCTTTAAAGGCAAAAACGTGAAAAAGCTAAGAAAAATAAACAATTGAATACAATATATTTGGTGCAACTTAATTTATAAATGGTTGTCAACTTAAAAATGTGTGTTCACAATGATGGTAATTAAGTACATACAACTTAAAATTATTTTTAAATCATACGGTAAAACAAGTTGGAACAACTTAATTTTTCGAGTAATCAACTTCAAAACTTGTGTTTATGCTACCAATTATTAAGTAAGTGGTAATTAAAAACACCTCTGATTGTAGAGGAAAAGCCTTCTCCCCTAACTCAAATAACTTTGTTGCTTTAAGACAATTTCATTAGAAGTTGTCTTAACTCAATAAACATCGATGCAAACTGTTGCGTTGATTTTCTTTGTTGAGCCAAGGCATTTGTTTTTAGAGTGTAGAGTGTCAAGATAAATTATGATTTGTTTTCGACTCTCAAGGTAATGTGGGTTCCTTTGCAAGCAGCAGAAGGGCCAGTAATCCCTTATTCCCTTTTATCCATTTAGGAAAAGCTTAGTGTGGAGCAGCTTTATCTTATCGTTCCCGGATTGAAAGGCTGGCAGAGGTGAGGGAGATACTTATGGTGAGCCAGGTTTCCTAAATAGCTGGTCACCTGTTGTACTGAGTCCACATTTGAACCAACCCATCAACCAACTAATCCGTACAAACCTAAAATAAGTATGTTTAAATGACTCTTCCATTTTAGGACTTGGCTTGCGCAGGTCAACTTTTGCAAATCTAAATTGGTAACGTGTTTTAAGTGATTACAGGGTTTAGGGTCAGAGTTTCAACTCCTTTTCAGCTGCTTTTCTTCTTTAAGCAAAGGGGACCAATTCAAACTTTAGTAACTTCTAAGTATTGTGTTTTGGCTAAAATAAAATTATACAATACAATGCAATACAACTACCTCTTTATATGAAGCTTTGATGTTTTTAGTTTGAAGCAGAAGATTAACATTAAAACAACTGCATTTAGGGGACAAAAACAATATATCAAAATACAAATAATACTTACTTTGCCATCTTATGTAATGTCCTCCGAAGAGTTCTATCGGAAGAAAAGAAAAAGGCAGGTTTAGCAGAGTTTTCAGGAGTTCACAGCATCAGTCAGAGGTTGGGATCAGGAGAGTGGTCCTTTGCTGTCAGCTTTGTGGCAGCCGGAGTGATGTTTTGTTTTGAGGGTACCGAAGGGTAATCCTATGCAATAAGATTACACCATCAGTGTGAGGGCACCAAGCTTATCCGTTATCCCGACTAGCCTCTGTCCAACAGACACGGATTCACCCCGAAACCATACGGTACAAACTATTATGTCACGTCGCGTTTGAACGTCAGTGCCAAACCTGTTGCTTGTTTGGACTATTCAAGGACAGTTAAATGGATGAAACCTATTTAGTATCTTTCTGAAGTATTCCTGGACTCAATAGTCCTAACTTTAGCCCGTGCCCTGTAATACGGATTGCTAAAGAGAGGTCAAGAGAGCCGTAAGGATTTGATTAATGGTTCATCAACGATATAGTGGGGTTCCCAATTTCCCTTTACACATCGTAACTTTCCTGAGAATTTTAGGAATTAAAAGGTTTAATTCAGTTATGTTTTATCTTGACTTTTATTATTTATAAACCTTTTAACTCTGTGCATTGAGTAAACACTTAACTGACCCTTTTCCAGGAGACCTACATGCATATGGGTTTGAATATTTGTTATGAGTCCCTTAATGGCATCTTGCCAATGTCTCACACTAGCAGACTGATACAGAGCTTTTTTTAAATGTTTTTGTCAATAATTGTAAGAATATTATTTTTTTCATTTTACAAGTATTTTTATATTTATAATGTATTATTTGTTTTTTTGGGTCCTCCTAATAAAAGCATTTCACACGATTGTACTTGTAGTGACAATAATTATCTTGAATCAAGGATGTTATTAAATTGGTCTTTTAGTCATTATTTGACTCTTTTGAACACATTGTCTAATGCTCGAAGTCCTGTTTTAGTTTTTGTTGCTGCACACACAAGAAACCTTCTACAACACACATTCAAACTTACCACAGTTCAATTCAAAATCACAATAACAAATGACTCTTTATATGGGTTTGTATTCTATTTACATTGTTCTCTCCTCAATATTGAAATTGAGGGCATTCCCTAAGGATTCATCACAATTTAAGTAAAAGTTAAATGAATAAAAAAAAATACATTACAGCCTATCTCTAAACATATTCAACCTTTGATTGTATAGGACAAACACAGACATTGCTGTATTCATTTCATTGAGACTTAGAAGAATGCTGACTTGTGTCTGATTTCCAATCCAAACCCAAAATGTGGATTCAGTAAAAAGGTTTTCATGAGAAAATCAGGAACATGGAGAGGTAGTCCTCCTAAGCACATAAGGTAATTGTGGGCTGTGATGTTGCCCAACCTGCAGCTTATCTAAATACTAATGAACTAAACATCACTTATTCCTTACTTTTTCTGTTTTTGCACCTCCTTTTTTCCAAACATTTCAAGTGGTGCAGTTAATCTAACATTTTAATCTTTGCATACATTTTCCTTGATTTGACACTCCCGCTAAACTGAGCCTGAGTATCTTTACTTCCCACAGTTAAGTGATGTTTATGATTAACATTGTTTATCACTTACATCTGCCTGCTCCCGCACCTGTACTGTCTTACAAAAAGACCTTTGTAGGATAAGCTTCTGCAATGCAAACCTGCTGCCTATCATTTAGGTTGCTTTAATACTACAGCAGTCATGCTTGACCACTGGCAGCCTTGACAGATGCATTAAGCCACATTTTCCATTTTGAGAAATTGTATGCTGTATATGCAACCTGCACATAATTACAAATGTATGATGGCTCTTCGGATGATTATCTCTTCGATGTAACATACCTCATTGACTTTCATCTTAAAGTAGGAAACGTTTCTGGCACAATATAACATTTAAAGTATGCTCCAATGCAGTATTTCCTCATCAGTGTATTTAATTAAAAAAAGTAAAATAATGCTCTAAATAGGCTAAAGGCAATACTGTATCGAGCCATACATGAAAATCAAGTCTTACCTCTTCTCAGGTGTCTGGGAGCGTGGTGTCGAGGTCAGTAGAGAGTGCGATCAGCAACAGTTGATCCAGCTTTTTATAGGTGCATCCTCCCTCTGAGCATCATTTGGGATTAACTCTCCTATTATTGCGGCCGTTTCTTAATCCAGTTAGGCAATCAGCGGATGGCTTTTTTTGGATCACAAAGGGGTAATTAACACCCAGTGGCTAATTCACACATGGCTGTGGTAGTAGTAGGCGGATAATCCCATCTGCACACACACAAATGAAGCAATCAAAGCAGTCCTTTTTAATTAGGGTTAACTTCTCTGAAAGGGATGTTTTTGTCAAAAGGCCTGGATGTGTCATGACATTAGGGGTTTCTGCTAGAAAGGGTCACTTGTTCTGGATAATACCAAAGACCTGCTATTCACCATTAGTGAACTGTTTTGAATTAGAGAAACAAATGGGGACATTTTTACAAATAAAAGTTGTGAAATATTTTTAGTTATGTTCGGAGTATTTGGGAGATCTTCAGCACTGAAATCTGTCTGATCTCAGCAGATTAAATGTTACACGTCCCGCGGATGATGGCAGCGTGGACTTCAAAGTCAGAGAAAGCAGTCTTATTCAACGTGTCCAAGGAACGTGCCAAAGTATCTCGAGATAACCTTGTTGACCAATTGGCATTTCATGGACAGGTCCATTATAACAAGATAATGCTGAAAGTTCAAATGTTAATTTGAAATCCCAGTCAAAATACTGTATCAAAGTTTGCTGTTTTCGAATTGGTACATTTGCACAGTCGTTTAAATTGTGTCTTGTAAAGTGCTGAAATAAGCTTATTTAGAATATTTAAGGGGATTTGTAAGATTGTAATGGTTCACATAGTTGTTTATTTTTATATCAGTGACTGATGCTGAGACACTGGTATTTTGGGGTGATTCAGCTTCCCTGATTGAATACTTTGAGTTGAAGTTTAAAATAATTGCTTTTTAACACTGCACCAAAAAAACGTTCTTTCTTTACATTTAATATACCACATGGATGACTGTGTGGTAAAACATAACTATCTGGACCACTAGACACAATTTTGTTGAAGATAATTTGATATAATGATAATAAATGGTTAATGGAAGACAATGAGAAAAAAGGTCATAGATGGAATCCAGCCAGCATGGTGAGCTCCAGGTCAAGTGGACGTCCCACAAAGCAAGGGTCACCGTTTTGTAATATAGCCTTGGCTACACTGGGAAGTAAGTTCACATCAACACAGAGGCATTGAAGGTGAAGTGTTATGTGAAAGCTTGATCATCTTATTAATTACTTACTTAAACAGATGGGAGAATAAAGCTTCAAGCTGGAGAGGTTATTTAAAGAGGCATTTTCCCACGTTTACTAAGAAAAGTAATTTGTAACCACACCTATTCTGGTTTGGGTATCCTTACCAGTAATGGATTTCATGAAATGGGATTATGTAATCAGGATACAGAAAAAAAGGTAGCTGTATTCCCTTACAGTTACAGAAAAAAAAGTACTACATTACTGTTACATTTCTAAAAGTTGGGGATTATTAAAAGGATTACAATGTTACAAAAAACACAAAAAACAGCATGTTGTGTTTGTTGTGAAAGCTTATAAAAATTGTTCTTTGTAAACTGTATAGGCTAATACTTTATGTGTGAATCTATACGCCTACTGCCTGAATTTGCTTTATGGTTTTCATTCTTTTTTTCATTCAGTGGGTAAACCTATTATTTCATACAATAGTGTGTGTGAGCTCAACTCTGTGTATTAAACTAAGACGGAGCATTTTCTGTCAGCTCAGGTTTTATTTCTGCTTTTTTAACTGTTGTATGTGCTCATCATGTGTTGTTCTCTTAATTGTTGGTGAACAGACTAGTGCCTGAACATGTTAAATGGAAGGCAGGTTTTCCTATAAATAAAATATCTGAGCAAAATATACTTTTAAAAAAAAAAGTCTCACATAATACATACTGTATGAATAATAAACATCTTATTGATATTTATGTTCTCTTTTAATGATTTGCATTGCTTTTGATGTTGGGGTAATCCACTTTACTTTTTTATATTTTGATACTCAGACCTACAGTCAGTAGGTTACTGATTACATTTTGTTTTGTACGGGTAACTAGTAATTATAACGGCATACATTTGTAACCTTCCCAACCCTGATCCTCACTAATCTTTGTTTAGTCTGCAGTGCAATTTGTTCCTGGAAATAAACTGGCTTGCTTGGCTCTGAGTTCACTGATCGTCAATTTAACAGAAGGTGACAGTGTGATTCCCTCTGAGGAGGATTTCCCTGGTGGAAACACCACGTCATGATGCACGATCACAGACAACAGAGAGAGGGAGTGGAAAAAATAGTGGAAAAAAACACTGTATTAGTTTGATTTGACTGCCGCTGATATTAGGGGAGATAAGGTGACAGGAATACGGAGGTGGGTCCAAGACAGATACTAACAGAGAGAACATTTTTTATTTATCCAAATACCCTAATTGCAGGTTGAAAAAAAGAAAGTCTCAGTCTACTTACTTGTATGTAATGCACTTTTTCCTTAAAGGTCACCTAATATGCAAAATCCACCAACAACTCTGTGTTAAGAGATTCTGAAAGTTTCAGGAAAAAAGATTTGCTCACTTTTTGTCCTGATCCATTTAAAACCTGTCTGAAAATTAGCGATTCAGATTTTGGCCACTTTATGATGTCATAATGTTATTTTGGCTTGTGTAACCATTAGCTAATAACCAACCAAGGTAACACCCCCCCACCTTATCACCTGAATCTCCTCCTAGAGCACTATTGTGTTCTTTTTAACCAAATATCTTGCAGAGGGGCGTGGGGAGTGGCTCCTTATTTTCATCTAAAGTAAAAGAAAGAGAATCAGCACTTTTGAAACAGCTAGGGATCATGGGATGCTACAATGGGTGATCTGTTTGGTATTTCCGCCAAACACTTCAGAGACATGTTTTGTATATATCTGAGACCTATACTATATTGATGAAAAACAGTATAATAGGGGACCTTTAATATCTTAGGCTACTGAAATAACCAACACATAAGTACTGTGGTTAAATAAAAAACAAGGGTAACCAGGTTGAGTAATATTTATTTAATGTCCATCTTATGTGTCTCATATTTGTTTCTTCATCTGAATAACACTTAACTAATGCTCTCTCCTTTTTTAATCATGAACCCTTTTTGATGAGAATAGATAAAAGACAGAAATATATTTTGTGTGAAACAAATATCATGTTAGCATCCAGTCAGGAAAGCCCAATATGGCACTGTTCCCGTAGGCGTAGATTAAGAGGTTTTGTTTAGGGCCAGCTGATTGAAGTGGCTGAGCCTTTTGTAGACCAGACACACAAGCACATAACAATAAAGAGTGTCTAGTGAGACAGAGAGCCAAAGGTCGCAATCAGCATACTCTATTATTTATAGGTAAGGAGATGAAATGGTGCACACCATTTAGATGATGAGGTACATAACATGAAGCTAGCTGAGTATATTATAAGATATGGTACAAGTAATTAATCAGCCCAAACATGATGGGCAGAAGCAATATTAACTGGTCTACAGACAAGATAACTTCTCTGGGAATATTATATGTAGACACAGTGGTGCTTGAACTAAATATGTATATGCTCAATGACAATGCTAACCCGATGAAGCTCTGTGTACATCATCTTAGAGAAAATAGGTGTGACTTACTGCACGTTTAGTACTACAATTATTAATTGATTTGGAGTCATCAGGTCACATGACATGTAATTTACAAGAATATTCAATAAAAAAAGTGCAGATTTTCTTATTAAAAATATTCATTTTATATAGAAGGTGGACTAAAATCCCCAAAAAGCAAGTGTCCTCTTTCCAGTTACGTAATACAAGGCTGCATTGATTTGCATTTTTTGGGCCACATACTGTAACATGGACGCTTTTGAAATTAAAAATACTTTTCGATAAAGAATTATTTAAAAATATATATTTAAAAAAAGGCAAAAAACACTTAAATCCTATACAAAGAAGTGTGTCCTCTCTCTAGTGTAGGATTTGAAATATGCATTGGTTTGGAGCTGTACAGTGCTATTATATGGATTTTTTTGTTAGGCAAATTTACAAGTTAAAGGGCCCATGTCATGGCCATTTCTACTGATCATAAATTGTTGAGGTATACTAAAATAGATTTATATTGTGCAATTTTCCAAACTCACATTGGTTTCTCATACAGCATCTCTGTACAGCATGTGTATTCACTCTCTGTCCTAAACGGCTTGTTGGAGCTCCTGCCCCCCCCCCCCTCCCTCTGTTCTGATGAGTCCACCACCGTTATAGCGGAACATCAGTGATTATGTGTTACAATGGCGTTTGTTAGCAACCAGAAAATGACACCAGTAATGACAAACAGATGAAAATGCTGCGTGGGGTCTGGGTGCCGTGTTTGCGGGACGTTGCGGGGCTCGCTGCTCCGCCCTTTGAGGCTCGAGGAGTGGACAGTGTGAGCTGGATTACTGGTGCTCTGTATAGCATGTGTATTCACTCTCTGTCCTAAACGGCTTGTTGGAGCTCCTGACCTGGGCACGGTGACCGAGTTCTAGTTTCACCTGAACAGCACCCTCGTCAGAAGATCCACATCACAGGACAGAAGTGGATCTTCTGACGAGGGTGCTGTTCAGGTTCAAGGCTTCACCCACGACTGGATGGTGTTTGTCCTCGGCCCGGAGCAGAGCAACATCCAGCACTTTGTGGAGAAAGTGGTTTTTTACCTGCACGAAAGCTTCCCCAAACCAAAAAGAGTTATCAAGGATCCCCCGTTCAAAGTGGAGGAGTCTGGATACGCAGGCTTCATCTTACCTATTGAAGTTTACTTCAGAAATAAGGAAGAACCGAAGAAAGTTCGCTTTGATTACGACCTTTTCCTCCATCTGGAAGGCCACCCACCTGTCAATCATCTCCGCTGTGAGAAGCTCACCTTCAACAGCCCTACAGAGGAGTTTCGCATGAAGCTGCTGAAAGCTGGAGGGCAGCGGGATCCTAACAAACGAAGTTCAGAAGACTCAAATGTGATGGTGATGCAGGAGGGCTCCACCTCTCTGTTCGGACAGCACATGAAGCTGCGTTCTCTCCCCAGCTCGCTGACATCCACCTTCTTGGACCAAAAAAAGAGCAAAAGCTTTCACGGGTCAAAGGATGGCTCCAAAGGAAGCAGCACCTCCCTTCTCACCATGGCAACAACCACCAGCACCAACAACATCAGCTTCTCCAAACTCCACAAACTCTCCAAGGACCACAAAGACAAGCCTCCAAAAGACTTGAAAGAGCCCACAAGTGCCTTCAGAGACTCTGGCTGGGAATCCAGCAAAGTCCCCAAAGAAACTTCCAGGAAACCTGTTCATTGTATTTTGTTATTGGAATAAATGCACAAATGGAGGTTCTTGTCTGGATTTGGATGATCATTGCCCTGCGTAAGATCCGCTAACTAGTGCCTCAGCGCAGGGACGTGCACAGGTACGGGCTAATGTTGCCCGGGCAATGGCCCTTTTGAACTTTTTGGCTGACCTGCCCCTCTGGAGAGAGCGAAAGTCTTTTTTTTCTGTTGTGGCCGAATAAACATGATAAGCCCACAATTAGTATTGTAGAGTCTTGCTGCAATAAAACACACCTTGTCAGCGCTGTCATCTGCCCCCAGTCACGTGACTTTGTTTACAATCTGACAGCTGAAAAGCAAAGGAAAGCCCTCCGAGTCCGGTCCGGCCTCATGTGGCTATGGTGATCATGTGCCTGCCTGGCTTTGGTGGCCAATCCTCGGGTCAATCTGTCCCCGGAAATGTCCCCGTTTTGAAATATGCTTGAATTGATTTTGAGTTTTCTCATGGCAGTTAGAGTATAGGGGACAATCCAGGGGACTTTACTTCCTCTTGACACCGTCGGTTATTTACACCTATACTTGTTATTGTGCTTCCGTCTTTCTGTATCTTTTCATCTGCTCCGTAAACTCCCTCACCACTCGCTCTCTTTTCTTGATCGCCCTCTCACAGGAGAACTCTTCACTGTCCCGCTTCATTGTAGGATTTCTGCCATGTCTCTACTTTAGTTTGACCATCTCTGTTATTAAGTTATGGAATACTAAATAAATAAGTAATTTGATACCTTACCGTTACTGCGCTCATAAAGAATGATAAGAATAAGAATAATGCGTATTGAACTGGTTTAATCAATTAGTGAGTTTATTTAAGAGACAGCCGTTACAATGGTCAAACTACATTAAAACAGAATTGTCCGCATTTTGTCTTTAATAGTTCCTAACATTAGATATGTTAATGAGATATGGACCGCAAAACAAACAATTTCCCTGGTTTTCTTTTTTTATAAAAACTTCTTACGTTTTCGGGGGGGGGGGGGGGGAGGCCCTTTCTCTAGTTTAGAGCAATAGCCCCTCCAAATATCTGTGCACGTCCCTGCCTCAGCGGCTGTATTATTATGTTTATATTATGTTAATTATCTGTTTTAGTTCTATATGATTTTGGCCGCTACATACACCATACATATTTGTCAAGTCAATAGACTATTATATGCCCTTTTATTTCTTCCTTAGTAATTGAATGAATGTTTATTTTGTAAACCTTGCCATAGTTGGTTTAATTGCTAAACGTGTTATGTTACAAATATCTTACCTTCCTATAGGTTGTAACACGAATGAACCAAGTCCCAGCACCTATTATGTGCATGGTACACCACCCAGGACTAGAGCCAAACTGTCTCAACCCATACACCCTGCAGAACCTCCATAACATGTACAGATTAGATTATGGATCTTTGAGGCGTAGAAGCATTTTCGGCATCTTGCCTATCGCAGCTTTGTAAACTGGTGCTGGGGCTTTTTAGGACGAGGCATCAGAGTGGTCATCCCGTCATGTGTTGTCCACCGCATACGCCAGGAGTTTCCTGATCTAAATCAAATGCAAATCATAAAATATTAGAGAAACTTAGTTGTTTTAGGTTCGTTAGCTTGTCAGATAGATTAATATGCTAACCTACGTTTGCTAGTTGTTCAGTGTAATATGCCAACCTACTACGAACAACAGCTAGTGGTTCATATTAGGCTAGCTGTCACGATTCTCATGTTATGTCACGTTTTTAGTTTTGTATGTCTAGGTTTGGGTTTATTTAGCTGTCCGGTTCTCCCTGTCACCTGTCTGGTCCCTCTCTCTGTGTTTTTCCTCCCTGTCGTTAGTTTAGTCTAATTGTCTGATTGTGTTCACCTGTTGCCCTTGTGTTTCTCCTCCCCTGCCCGGCTGTTTCTCGTCTCGTGATTACTCCTCCCTGTATTTAGTCTCTTCCTGTGTTCAGTGTTGGTTCGTCTTTTGTTGGTGACTGAGTTCACCGTGAGTGTTCTGTTTTGTCCGAGTTATTTTCATTATCCTTGAAATAAAGGTTAATCAGAGTTATCTGCATTTGGGTCCTGCTTCCTTCACTCAACCGTAACAGTACGAACCAACCAAGATGGACCCAACAGATGATCCATTTAAGGTGGAACTATAAATGTACCTATTCTTTGGCTTTCTGCTATGGTAGGTGGAGGGGAGCGTCCAGTGTTGAGCAGAAAGAGGCTGCTCAGGCAGAGGCGCACCAGATAGCAAAAGAGAAACCATGTCTTGTGAAGTTCTTACCTGGCTGGATGATGGATATCCTCCCGACATGTGTTTCCCGGCCTGCTAGCCCCAGGCATGCTAGCCCCCTGCCTCCCAATTCTCAAACGGACACCATACGTCTCGGCGTGTTCCATCTGGAGTCAACCTCTGCTTCTTCCCCAGTTCCTGCTCCTGTCCAGGAGCAGTTATCTGGAACTTGTCTGGCTTTTGGAGGTCCACGGAGCCTCCAAAAGGCTCCTAAGAGAAGGAGTAGCAAGTCCAGACAGCCCGAGCCCCAAAAGTCATGGTTCTGGCCCCAGCAGCCATGGTTCCGGCCCCAGCAGCCACGGATCCGGTCCCAGCAGCCATGGTTCTGGCCCCAGCAGCCATGGTTCCGGCCCTGGTTCCGGCCCCAGCAGCCATAGTCCCTCCTCTAGTCCCTTCTTTAGTCCCTCCTCTAGTGCCTTCTCAAGTCCCTACTCTAGTCCCATCTCAAGTCCCTTCCCGAGTTTCCTCTCCAGTTTCCTCTCAAGTCCCCTCTCAAGTCCCCTCTCAAGTTCCCTCTCGAGTCCCCTCTCCAGTTTCCTCTCAAGTCTCCTCTCGAGTCTCCTCTCGAGTCCCCTCTCGAGTCCCCTCTTGAGTCCCCTCTCGAGTTCTCTCTCCAGTCCCTACTCAAGTCCCTACTGAAGTGCTGTTGGAGGTTCCGCTGGGGGTCCTGCCAACTCCATGTCCTGTCCCGTTGGGGGTCTCGCCGACTACTCTTCTGCCGGGGGTCCTGCCAACCCTATGTCCCGTGCCGTTGGAGGCCCCGCCGACGATTCTTCTGCCGGGGGTCCTGCCAACCCTGTGTCCTGTGCCGTTGGAGGCCCTGCCGACTACTCTTCTGCCGGGGGTCCTGCCAACCCTATGTCCCGTGCCGTTGGAGGCCCCGCCGACGATTCTTCTGCCGGGGGTCCTGCCAACCCTGTGTCCTGTGCCGTTGGATGCCCCGCCGACTACTCTTCTGCCGGGGGTCCTGCCAACCCTATGTCCCGTGCCGTTGGAGGCCCCGCCGACAATTATTCTGCCGGGGGTCCTGCCAACCCTGTGTCCTGTGCCGTTGGAGGTTCCGCTGGGGGTCCTGCCAGCTCCATGTCCTGTCCCGTTGGGAGTCCCGCCGACTACTCTTCTGCCGGGGGTCCTGCCAACCCTATGTCCTGTTCCGTTGGAGGTCCCGCTGAGAGTCCTGCCAATCCCATGTCTTGTTCCGTTGGAGGTTTCCGCCGCCACCTTGCCTCGCCGTGGGTCCTGCCAACTCCTGGTCCTCTTCCGTGGGGGATCCTGCCGAAGCCTGTCCCACCGGCTCCGGTTCCTGCCTGGCCTCCGGAGCTGTCCCGTCAGCGGCTTCCTGCCCGTCCTCCGGAGTTGTTCCGTCGCCGCCTGCTTCGCCCTCGAGCCCGGCCCCGTGAGTGCCGCGGTCTTCACCCTCGAGCCCGGCCCCCTGAGAGCCGCGGTCTTCGCCCTCGAGCCCGGCCCCCCTGAGAGCCGCGGTTCTTCAGCCCTCGAGCCCGGCCCCCTGAGAGCCGCGGTCTTTCGCCCTCGAGCCCGGCCCCCCTGACTTTCCCGGCCGCGGTCCTCGCCCTTGGGCCCGGCCCCCTGACTCTTCCTGCCGCTGCCTTCACCCTCATGCTCGGCCCCGCTGAGTTCGCCCGCTGTGGTCTTCGCCCCTCCATGGACTCTGCCTTGCCCCCGGGCCCTCCACCCGAGACCCCCTCCATGGTCTCTGCCTTTCCTCCGGGCAGTCCGCCCGAGACCCCCACCATGGACTCTGCCTTGCCCCCGGGCCGTCTGCCCGAGACCCCCACCTCGGCTTCTGCCTTGCCCCCGGGCCGTCCGCCCGAGTCCTCCTTCTCGGCTTCTGCCTTGCCCCCGGGCCCTCCGCTGTGCTCCTTATTTTCATTATCCTTGAAATAAAGGTTAATCAGAGTTATCTGCATTTGGGTCCTGCTTCCTTCACTCAACCGTAACACTAGCAAGAACATGTTTACAATTGCAATCTTATACAGGTAGTCTGCTACGTTCGGTCATTCATTGTAGCTGGCATAAAAACAATGTTTTCCCTAGCAAACTCATGTCTAGCTCTTAGCCTTCTTTTTAACTCTGTAGCATACACGCTAGGAATGCCAACTATAATGTAATTAAGTTTCGCGACTGACCATACGGTAAATCACCCGGAGTATACTGTCTGAGTATTTCGTGTGTGAATGCAGACATTCTCCTGCTATGAGATACATGTAAGGCCATCTGCTGACATTGGAGTTGATATATGGAAACGCTAGCAACTTAGTTAGCCCAGTTAGCACTTAGTTAGGCTTAGCAGCCCGAATAACATTTACCCATTTAAATAGTTGTGGTAGATACCTTTGTTTTAAACATCATAAATACACAAACAAAAATGAATACTTACAGGTTGTGTACCCAAGGGTGTAACTTTGGTTTGAGAAGTGGGGGGGACACAAGACAGGGGGTCCTCCGCAATGAAATATTTTCTCAATTTAATTCCATGTCCTCCCTTTCTACAAATATATTAGGGACTGTAGTGTTAACAAATCCAAGAAAAATGTGTAGTGTATATAATGAGTGTGCACACACTTATCTAATATCCTATCCATGTGAACCTGTTTTATTTGTGATGACCTCACATCCTCTAGGGGGGTCCGGGGGCATGCACCCCCGGGAAGATTTTTTCTTTAAATTGAAGTTAAATGCATCAATCTGGTGCACTTTGAAGGCAACATTAAGAGATTTATGGATGCAGCTCTCTGTTGTGCACCGACAGAAATGTTAAGAGTTTAATTTATATGTTGTTTTTGTCACTCACCATTTACCTGTCATTCCAGGTTTCCTGATTATCTACCTCTCTCCCGTGCTCATCAGCACCAGCCCCGCCCCTGATTGTTCCCACCTGTGTCTTGTTATCTTGGGTTTAAATTCCCAGTCTCCCATGTGTTCTTCGTCAGTTCGTCTTGTCCATGCCTAGATCAGATCTATGCTCTCCTTGATACCATGATGTTTTTGTTCCTCACTACGTGAGCGATCTTCATCTCATCAAGAGATTAGAAAGTGTTTATTTTTGTTCATCTATTAAAGTATCTTACAAATACTTTACCTCTGTCTCCTGGGTCGTGCAATTGGGTCCTATACCTTGAGTTTCTGAGTTCGTAACACTCTCAACACTCATATGAAACAGAACTGTATATATTTCAATAATCAAAAAACCATTAGAATATTCTCACAACCAATAACAAATCATTGATAAACTCCTCTCTCCTATCTTTATTTTACCTATAGTTTGCATTATTTCTTTTTATTTATGCATATTTGACTAATCACACCCCTTTCAAACTGTGTTTTTTATTTTGTACTGACCTATGGAATGATTTCTTAACTTATTTTATACACGACTAATATTACATAGATGGAAATATTTGTTTACCTAGATGACCAAACCGTTTGAGCCCACTGAGATAACTTAGACTAAAGTTTACAATCTAATTACTTAGAGTCCTTTACCTCCCTGAGCTGACGTTATCTCTCTCAGTCCGACAGGAAAGAGCTCTCCCTCTCCTTATTGTTGAAACAGCTACTAATCTCCGCTAGCTCCGAGCTAGCACCAGATGCTAACGACAACCCCTGTATATCTCTCTCTCTCTCCTCTCTCTCTCTCTCTCTCCTCTCCTCTCTCTCTCTCTCTCTCTCTCTCTCTCTCTCTCTCTCTCTCTCTCTCTCTCTCTCTCTCTCTCTCTCTCTCTCACAAGATGCGCTCACACACAGACGCTCCTCCGTGACGATGACCGCTTGCGTAGACACATTATAATAAACACATTTAAAAAGTGGGGGGGACACAAATGGGATTTTGAAAAGTGGGGGGGACATTTCCCCCCTGTCCCCAGTGGAAATTACGCCCATGTGTGTACCCGAATCTCCCGCTGGTCCAAACCATGGTCCAAACAAAGTAGGAACAGCATCGTTCTTCAGTGCCCTACGCTGTACAGTACATATCCGGCATGAATCGCTGAAAGGTTTGTGAAGCTTTGTTTCGTGAAATGCTGGCAGAGGGTGTGGCCTCTGGGTGTTCACACGTCACAGTACCCAGGAAGTAAACAATGGAAAATGAGAAATCTCCAACGAGGCGTTTTGGGGCAGCATAGACTGTGTTAGAGTTTTATCTGCTACAGGGTGTATTTTGAGGGTTTTTGACTCTGCAGACCGTTTACATGCATAAAAACCTTCATAATACACAAGGGGACGGGTAATAACCGGAAAAGCATGACATGGACCCTTTAATAAAACCATGTGTGCTGCTTTTGTTAAAAATGTAATCCAGAGGTGGTTAATTCTCTCCTGAGTTTCGACCGCCATCTAGCGGTTCGTTTGGAAATGTCCGATATCCTACTATTTATTATTTCCTTCCAATGCTGGGTACATCATGACTGTTTCTCTGTTTAGTAAAAATAAAATAGAAAAAGACACACAAGTAGCCACATCTTCAGGTTAAGAAACATGAAGTTCAATAAATAATCACCTTTTGCAGCTGCTTGTTACCTAATATACCACTAAATAATACGCGTATAATAGTCGAATTAAATCATCCTTCAGTATTCAGCTTTCACTACAAATAAGAGGGACGTGTGAGGAGCGGGAAACTTATTTTGGCTTTGACGTCAGGTAGGTGAAACACACCCATCATCCGGAGCTGAAGTGCATCTGCTGCAGACACCGCAGTGTGTGTTACCGTGCCATCGCTGCAGTTGCTCGCTCCCGACACCTACCACGTCCCGCTGCAGACTTCCCGGGCCGGGAGAGAACCGGGAGAGAACCGGGAAGAGCGGAGAGCCATGGCAGAGTCCAACCCGATGTGGGGCTTCCCCCGTCTGCGCCGGGCCGCGGTAAGCTGTGCCGGGAGGAGGGAGGCTTCAACCGGGGCGGAGAGGATACTGCAGCAGGGAGAGAGGGGGGGCTGTTCTTAGGACAGTTTAGTACTGCGACACAGAGGTTGGGATGTGCTCGTGCAAACTGCATTAGATATTTAAAAATGCATTAAAGTGAAGAGACTGCTCTTATTCAGATGGCTGGTCAATGTTAAGAGTCTGTGCAGGGCAGCAGGACAGGCCAATGACAAACGTGTATCGTGTGTGTGTGTGTGTGTGTGTGTGTGTGTGTGTGTGTGTGTGTGTGTGTGTGTGTAAACTGTGTAGAACAGCAAGAGTCTTTAGTACCTTTACTGCAGTCTAACTGTGTAGTGCTTTCAACATATGCAGCTTTATATTATAACAGATTTGGGACCGGCCTATGTGTGAAATGCTTGATGCCCACACTCCTAAATGTAGTTGTGGAATGCAGATGTCCTAACAAGTCTGCGATCATCCAATAACATTCATCATGGCTGCTATTTGAGTGCATATCCAGGTTTATACAGACACCTGGATGACTGTTCACTTGCTAGTGCAGTGTGTGTAGAAAGGACTACTGGATGTGAGTGGGAGGGAAAGCAGTTTGTATTTAGTCTGAGGTCAGCAGTTTCTGGTTTAAAGGTCTCCTTACGATGATTACAACACACCTGCATACAGAAAGCTGTTTCCTGTGCTACTGCCATCTGTGTTTAAAATAAGATCTAGCATTGTTTGTATTTGAAATGCATAAGTCTTCCTCATGGTTAATACTTTCTCAGACTATAAGATATGTGCAAAAACTGTGGAGACAAATGTAAGGTGAGCAGGTTTTTTTGGAGAAGAGGAGAGGATGATATGTGTAAAAGATGGCAAGCATGTGAGAAAAAAGTTATCACAAGGGGAAGATTGCAGGATTAGTTCTCTGCTCAATGGTTAGCAGTCTTGTGTTATTCAACTGGAAGCCAAACAAATCTCGAATTACTTTTAATCCCTCGGCTACTGTGCTTAATACAGATGAGAAAAGCAAATGCAAAAGTGTATTTCAGCTACTTTTGCTACATTTCCAATTAGGAAGTTACCTGCTACAAGAAAATAAGCACAGAGTCATGAAGAGAGAGAAAAGTGAACAAAAACAGATATAAAAAAATACTAAACTAAATGTATTTTGACCCATTCAAGCAGGAAAAGACCATATGACATCCTGAAAGAAAGTTTAGGTAATTGAGTTTTAACATTAAAGCTCCATGTTTGTACAGAGAAGGGAAGGTGAGAGCATGCAAAGCAGTTTATAATGAGAAAGAGTGAGGAAACAGCCATCAATCTGAAGAGCTGACTGTCAGACATGCTGAAGTGCTGTAGAGGCCGACAGACTCCCCAGACTGACACAGAGAGATGCTGATGCTGTGTTGAGCTTTGCTAGACTGCACGACTAACACCATCCAGCTGTCAAAGCTTCTGACTGACTCCTCTCTTCCTGTACTCCTGTGCACTAATCCAGGGATAGGCTGGAGTTGAAATCCACCAAAGCCAGTTTACCACATTGTTAGCATGACAGAAATAATTTCCCTTTCCTTATATGTTGTTCCCTTGTCTAGTAAGTGTGTATAAGAATAGAATAATATCACCGTATCTTCCTCTTTTAGACCTCATTTCCAGGAAATCTGCATCTGGTCTTGGTGCTCGGCCCTAGCGGTTTGTTAAGCTCCGCCCCCAGTCCGTCTTCAAGCACTGACCTCGGCTTCCGCTTCAGCCAGGATGACTTCCTGTTAAAGATGCCGGTGAGAGGGGAGTTAGAAACTGAGAAAAATAGTGGTGGGGACACATTTTTATTTTACGTTTTTACATGTACTTTCCATATCTGGTGCAGCACGATGGTATCTGCTCCACACTACACACACTCTTTCTGTCCATTTGGATATCTTTTCTCTTCTATTTGCTTACTACATGCAAAACGCTGTTATTTAATTGGATGCTTTGTGTATTTAGGTGGTGATGTTACGTTCTGTTGGTGACCTGCTGCGCTACATCGATGAACACCACCTGACATCAGACTTCACTGCAAAAGTGGAGTACTGCCAAAGTGACTGGGTCCTCCTCCGTCAGGTACACACTTCTGATGCTCGTCTATCCACCAGAGCTTGGCATGCTGCTTTTGAATATTAAGAATATCAAGCGATTTCATAGCTATGTTTGCACACTTTTAATAATTAAAGGGCCCCTATTAGGCTTTTGGGGGCATTCCCTTTCCAGTAATGTGTTAAATAGTTTTTTTGTTGCATATAAATAGTTTGCAATTGGACTCCTTTGTTTACTCCAGTAACATCATGACATCACTATGTAACACTCATGCTTCTATTGGCTAGCGCTCCAACATATGGTGCGTGATAGGATCGGGACAACCAATAGGACCAACAGAGCCGACCAGCTAACCAATCAGATTAGACTAGGTACTTGTTAAAGACAGAGGGTGAAAGGCATGTAAACATGTCATAGTTGAGGCACAAAATACAAATATGAACCTGGAAATTAGCATAATAGAGCCCCTTTGAAAAACACAACAAATCAGCATTCTTATAATATTTTTGTTATGTTTTATGTGTGAAAATGTGTGTGTCTTCAGGCCATTGAGACCTTTGCAGTGACAGTGAAGAAGATCGCCCAGCATCTTCAGGGTTTTGGCGCAGAGCTTTCTGAAACTGACCTTCCAGATGAAGCTAATGCCATCGAGTTCCTGCTACACTCACACACACACCGATACCGGCAGATGAAGGTTTGCTCCTCTCTTTGTGTCTAGCAGTTTTTGTATTTGATTTCTCCATCTGTTTTTTTTATTTATTATCTTTTGGTTTGTCATATTCAGGACGATATCCGGAGCGTGCTGAAAGAAGGACGGCTGCTGCTGTCAAACCTGGAGACGGTCAAAGCCTCAAAGAGAGATGTAGACGCGGAGAGGGACTTAAAATCAGACATGGACACTGTTCAAAGGTGCAGCATGCAGACATCTGCTGTAGAGAACTTACTTGGACATAAAAACAAGTTGGTAAATACAAGACGTACTGGGAGAAGGATGAAAAGATGAAAGGGTTTTATGAGGCATATTCTCAGCTTGACATCAACATCTTATTAAACCTTTGAGGCAGCTTGTGTGAATGTGTGTGTTGTGTGTGTTTAAGGCTCCTGGCTCAGCTCAGAGACATGGAGGAGGCGTTTGATGGCTTCTTTGAGAAACACCACCTGAAGCTACAGCAGTACCTCCAGCTGCTGCACTATGAAATGAGGTTCCACAAGGTGTGGTGATTGGTCACATTAGCTCTGAGTCTATGTTACATGATGTGATGATTAATTGTGTGTGTGTGTTTGTGTGTAGATGGAGGAGGTGCTGGAGAAGATCACTGCCAAAGAGGCGGACATTGACTCTGTGGGAACAACTGTGGTTCAGACAGAGCAGCTGCTGATGGACCTGGAGATACTGGACGCAAACGCTCAGGTCACAAACAAAGTCACACAACATGCTCACAGTTAGAGTTTTTGGTGACAAGCAGAAGAAAATGAAGCTGGTCTGTCTGCAGAAAAGCTCTCCCTACAGAGTTTGTCTTATTACAGATATTTTACTTTTTAAAGCCTCAGCCTTACATTTTGGCCATGCTGTTGTTTTTGACAAGTGACACCTGAAGAAACTACATCTACTAATATAATATAACTAACCTTTATGCACTGTAAATACACTGTAAAAAAAACACAGAAAGCTCCAAAAACTGGACAATACCAGGTGGTGACATATCAATTTCTAGGTATCCCTTCTCTAAAGCATGCACTGTTTTAATTGCATTTTTTTGTCTAAATGAGACTATAATGTAAAAAAGGAACATCATGCTGTATTGAAGAAGATTAAACTAGCGATGGAATCAATAATCCATAAGGCAAAATGTTTGATAAGGTTATAAAATCTATTAGAAGTAAGGTCATGTTCTCATTGACTTCTATACTGTCTGATTTATTTTGCAAGCAGTGGTGTCACCCCCCTGCTGGCCAATATAAACAGTGCAGGTTTAAAGAACTTAAAGGTCCCATGACATGGCCATTTCTACTGATCATAGTTCCATTGTTGAGGTCTACTAGAATAGATTTTCATTGTTCAATGTTCCAAAATCACATTGGTTTCTCATACAGCATCTCTGTATGGTATGTGTATTCACTCTGTCCTAAACGGCTTGTTGGAGCTCCTGCCTATGAGCCCACTGTGCTCTGATTGGTCAACTCGCCCACTCTGTTCTGATGAGTCCACCACCGTTACAGCGGAACATCAGTGATTATGTGTGTTTAGAGTATGAGAGGTCCTGATAATTTATTCCGGTAAATTACTCTGACCTCCTAATTGACCTTTCCGAAGTTATTGAGTCTATGTAAGTTTGCTGCTTGGCTCAGATCCACCAACGTCAGCAAGATCTCACCTCTTCCTAACCCCCCCGAAGAACCAGGTTCAATTAACTGCTGTTTCAATTCAGACAACTCTTTTTTAATCTGTTTAAGCGATCCCGAAGGATTTTGATATCAGTAAATGGAGTGTGCTCCTACCTAAGTGTGTGTGGCAGGGTGCAATCTTACCTTTGACGCAGGAGAGGAGAGCACAGGTGTCTTTTAAAGGATCCCAATCCAACAGGTGGGATTCAGTTTATTTGAAGAAAAATAGGTCTAAACTAATACAGGGTTTTTACCTTCTCTCTCACAACATTATAATCATACTAACAAAAAAACCGTGCTGTGATCATGTTCAAATGAAACTTTAATTCACAGTCTTACATTTATTACCAAAATGTTTTAATTTCAACTGCCCATTTCAGTTGTGACATTTTAAAATTCTCCCGATAGAATTTAGAGGTGTTTCCTCGTAAAAAGACCGGTGACAATAAAAAGCGCATTCAACTTTCCATTCACCAATTTATTCACATCAGTTTCATACCGTTTTTTCCGACACAGACGGCGGATTAACACTCAAAAACCCATACCTGTCCGCAAAATTCGGGGGACAAGATTTCCCCACAGGTCGCGGTATTTATAAAGGTTCATACACACATCTCTCATCAAATCATTCCACTCAGCCAACAACCAATAAATTCGAGAGATATTTACCCCGTCTAGAAGGACCTTACCGAGAGCTATTAACCCAGCTCTGGAGCTTTTTACTCTCACCCCTGTCTTTTATGCACAAAAACCCCGATAGCATTTTCCAAAACGCCTCTTCCACACCCACATCAGGAAAAACTGGGCATGGCTTCTACTGTACAGGGCTAAAAACATGACTCGACATGTTCCATAGCTTTATGGCCTAAGACCCCCCCCCCCTGTGTACTGCTGCCAGAGGAGAGAGAGAGAAAAACGGCCTACTCTTTTCACAGACACCCATATATCATTTTCCCCTACACACTCAACCTACACAAACCACTTTGTTTTGTTTATATTGTACTATAGAAAAACCTAAAATATGAAGCATGTTCATTGTGGGTTATACAAGAATATATTTGATTATATTTGATTATAACTAACTTTCGTTTTTAAGTATTAAACATGCTATGAAAACTCACAACAATGTGTTACAATGGCGTTTGTTAGCAACCAGAAAATGACACCATTAATGACAAACAGGTGAAAATGCTGCGTGGGGTCTGGGTGCCGTGTTGGCGGGACATTGCTGGGCTCGCTGCTCCGCCCTTTGAGGCTCGAGGAGCGGACAGTGTGAGCTGGATTACTGGTGTCGTTTCCTGGTTGCTGCGTGGGGTCTGCGAGACACCGCGGAACTCAGCCTGAGAACACACACACTCACAGCCAGGCTGTGAGTGCGGATTGGTCCATTTGGACCTGGGTATCGTTACATCACTATACTCAGGAAGAAAAAAATGGAAAAAGAAAAATCTCCAACGAGGCGTTCTGGGGCAGCATAGACAGGTATTTTCTGTGTTAGAGTTTTACTCGCTACAGGGTGTACTTTGAGGGTTTGTGACTCTGCAGACCGTTTACATGCAGAACAAGCTACATAACACACAAGGGGACGGGTAATAACCGGAAAAGCATGACATGGGACCTTTAAATATTGGCTTCACTTTTGCCCCTTGGGTCAAATGGCACACAGTAGTTGAGGCTCGATTTGATATTTGATATATTTGCTATCCACCTTTGTGTTCTCACATAAGGAAACAAAATATTTTTGATGTGTGGAAAGTGTGGAAATGAATTGAGTTTAAACCTTGATGTGTTTGTCTGTGGCTCAGGAGGAGATGGCTCGTGCCCAGGTGTTGATCCTGCATGGCCACCAGTTGGCGGCCAACCACCATTACGCCCTGGCGCTCATTGTCCAGCGCTGCAACGAGCTGCGGCATCGCTGTGACCTCATCACTGCTGCCGTACGCATCAAGAGGGCCTCGCTCACCAGAGCACAAGACCTGCTGCTCCGCCTTGAAGGGGTAAAAAGGCTGACATGACACACACACACTCAAAGACTTACACATATAAACATAGCAGTATGTACTAATTATATATGTTTGATTAACTTTTTCTGGTCTTTGCGTTCTCTACTCCCTCTTTTTTCCATGCAAGTTTAATCATCATTAACCACTATTTGTGTAAGCTATATGTTTGTTTTGATATATAACATTAAAAATAAATAAAAGGGCAAACATTTAAAAAGGACAATTTCCACATGTGAGTCTCCTTTTTGTTATTTGTTGCTATCACATAAATAACATTTAATGTGTTTGCAAAATGTGTATCTTGTGTTGTGTCCTAGTTAGTAATGATCTGTAGTTTAATCATTAACCACTATTTGTGTAAGCTATATGTTTGTTTTGATATATAACCTTGACAAAAGTTGAAGGGCAAACATTAAAAAAGGACAATTTCCACATGTGAGTCTCCTTTTTATTATTTGTTGCTATTACATAAATAACATGTATAATGTGTTTGCAAAATGTGTATCTTGTGTTGTGTCCTATGTTTGTGTGTTTGTGTCCAGGCCCTTCGGTGGTGTGACGAGGGTGCCTATCTTCTGGCGAGTCAGATGGTGGACAGGTTCCAAACCCGGGAGGGGGCTCAGGAGGCGCTGCAGTACCTCACCTATCACCAAGAGAGGGCGCCGTCTGCACTGAAGAACAATCAGGACATCGTCAGCCTGGAGCTGGAAGCCATACTCACCCCACAGCTGCAGGTAACCCTCACCATACTGATCACAAACACACAACATTATCCACAACTCCCCTCAAACTGTACCTCTTTCTTTCTAGTCCCAAATTTCCATGGTGGCAGAGAAACTGAACTCGATGCAGTCCATGATCAGAAACAGAGAGCAGTGTCTGAAGAAGCTGGCCGATGTACAAATCAGACCCATTCAGCTGGTGGCCCCGAGGCCCGAACATACCTCGCAGCGCTGCAAGTCACCCCTCTTCTCCCCAAAACATGGTATAATCCCCTCCAAAGGTCCTTTATGTCTTCCCATAGCTGTTGTTTCTGTGGTGTGGATTTGTTTTCAAGGTTCAAATTCTGTCCACTGTGTCAATACAGCAACACTGCTATTGTTTAAACCTTTGAGTCCGTGTGTTTGTCATCATGACCCACATTTACTCTCAGAACTGCTACACTATGGGAAACTACCACAGAGGATGTATTATGTCATTTGCAAGGTGTCATATTTCTGTCTATCCGTCTGCCTGTGGACAGATGTTGTAACCACGATACAGTGCAACAGTACATGATGCTGACTCTCACTACAAGTTGTATTTGTCTGTTTCCACAGGTGTAGACTTTAACGTCCTGAACTCCAAGTTCTCCTTTGATCTGCTACCTGGCAAACGAGCGGCGAGAAAGAACAACAACCAACGCAAGGTGTGTGTTTTTAAACTTAATGTAAGATTGGCGTGAAATTTGTGCAGACATTCCTCCTTGAGATTAATTGTTATAATTTCCCTTTTCTATGTAGTGCCATCATAGGGTCAATATTTCAATTTGTCCAATGACATGGTACTCTGGTTAATGATGAAATACCTAATGAATCTTCCTCCTGGGTTTAGTGACAGGGCTCTTACAAATGTGTCGAAGACTCCAACTAAGTGTCTTGTCTGTGTTTTCAGATCGAGGTAATGCATGATTTTCAAGGCAACCGCAGCTGTTTGTATGGCTCCACAACAGAAACAGATTCAGAGGCAGAAGACAATCCAGAGCAGGTCACACGGTACGCAATCTGACACATTATTGTTCTTAAAATCGAGACTCTAATGTGGCACTGTCTGTATACTATAGGCTGCACAATGCTTTTGCTGAAGGGGGCATCATTTCAAGGCACGCATCATGGGATACTGTTTCAAAATTAGAGAATACATTTTTTTAAATCAGTGCACTCCCATAGCAAAATCAGAGCGCTAAATACATATTGATGCAAAACCACAGCTGTAAAAACAGTTGTTTAGTATTGTGTTAGAAAAACTGTAAAAAATAAAGCCTGTCTGAGGCGTAGGAGAACCAGTCAAAAAGATCTGTCTGCAGCGCCAGACTCCAAAAGTTATGCGGGCAGTGTCCCAACTGTGGTCTATACTGTATTCATCTGCAGACAGAAGCAAGTAAAAGCCTTTTCGTGCCAACTTCACAGCATTTAGTATTTTCTTTAGCTTTGCATTTATGTTTTTTTCTAATTCCTCTCTTTTTAACTCTTTCTAGCCATGTAATGAAGGAGCTGATCGCTACAGAGAGGATCTATGTGGACGAGCTGCTCTCTGTCCTTCTGGTGAGTTTATTTCAGATTACTCTTATGGCATTTTGAATTTCCCCTTTTCCTGTCAAGTTTTCCCTCTCCTCTCCTCTCCTCTCCTCTCCTCTCCTCTCCTCCCCTCTCCTCTCCTCTCCTCTCCTCTCCTCTCCTCTCCTCTCCTCTCCTCTCCTCTCCTCAGGGCTACAGAGCAGAAATGGAGGACCCATCCATGTCTAATCTTCTTCCTTCAGCTCTGCGCAGCCAGAAGGACGTTCTGTTCGGCAACATGCCAGAGATTTACCAGTTCCACAGCAGGCATGACACAGACACACACAAACTCACAAACACACACATGTACACAAACTCACACACAAGCTGTCACAGACTTGTCCTTTCAGTGTTTTCATGAGAATCCAATTTCCTTCCCTTTTCCTCTCCGTTTAGGATCTTCCTCCAAGATCTGCAGAGTTGCCTGGAGACACCAGAGAGGGTGGGGGCTTGCTTCCTACAACGGGTGAGGACAAATTAGGATCAACAGAGGAACTTCATGTGAAGTGATACGCCATACCACTTTTAATCGTAAATGATGTGTGTGTGAGCAGAAAAAGAAGTTCCAGGTATACCAGCGTTACTGCCAAAACAAGCCACGCTCCGAGTTGCTATGGAGACAGTGCTCTGATTCAACCTTCTTCAAGGTACTTACACACCATATATATTATTTATAATCAATTATCCGGTCATTCTCTCATATTGACTGGATGCAAGTCAACCTGTTACGATTTTTAGAATTCAATGATGTTTTCCAATTACGCCGTGTACAAATCTCTATCTCCCTCCCCCATCCCTCTTCTTCTCTCCCTCTTTCTCTGCAGGAGTGCCAGAAGAAGCTAGACCACAAGCTGGGTCTGGACTCTTACCTCCTGAAACCAGTCCAGCGCCTCGCCAAGTACCAGCTGCTCCTCAAGGTTCTGTTCATCTGAGTCAGTCAGTGATGGAAAGACACACCATGCATGTTTCAGAGATTTGGTTTTCCCAAACAATGAAGGTTTTTCTGCCTTGTTGAAAAATAGTATCTCTTAAAACGCAGCTAAGATGTTTTGCACTGCCCTACATCTTTGCTGCTCGGGTTAATTATTTGCTCGTTATAAATATGGTTTATTTCTTTATTCAGGGATTTACAAAGATGTTTCATTTGGCATGTGGTCCAAATTATTTCATCAAATCAAATCAAATCAAGTTTTATTTATATAGCACATTTATGAACGATTTTTGGTCGAGCCAAAGTGCTGTACATATAATAAAAATAGCCTACAGTAGAGACACTACATGAGGACTATCTACTATACGTTGACTATCATGCTTGCTAAAAGCTAACATGTTTACAACCTTTGTTTGACATTTGACCTGATAATGGCACTAGAGGAAAAGTAAAGGAATCAATCAAAGTTATCACATTGAATGTTAAGGAGGACATGAATGAGTGAACTGAATGTCATGGCAGTCCATCCAATGGTCATGGAGATTTTTCACTCTGGATCAAATAGGTGGATTGACCATCCATAAATTCATGTAATCATGTGGTCAGGTCTGTCTGCACTGTTATAGGTTTTCACAAGACAAAACGCAAAACTGCATTTAGATTGATTAAGGACAAATGGAAGATGGCACAAGAGGCAATCAGTCAAGACAGTTATAACAACAACAACTCCTAAAGACAGATACAAACACTTGTGAGGATACAAGTAGAGGTCTTAAACAGGCACAGAGGAAATGTCAACATAGACAGATTAGATCAAGTATATACACTGACTTGTCATCCTGTGTCTCTGTGGTGTTTCAGGAGCTGCTGAAGCACTGCACGGAGGATCTGTACCGCTGTGAGCTGCAGGAGGCTCTGGACTCCATGTTGGAGCTGCTGAAGTCTGTCAACGACTCCATGCATCAGATCGCCATCACTGGATATCAGGTACCAACCACTCAATTCAATAGATCAGATGGAGTGGATGTTTATGTCAGCGGATGCAAGATTTATGACACACCATTATGCTTCAATATAAAACGGTTCAATCCTCATTTTATATCTATAACCACATTTCTCATTGACTTCTGTTTTCTACTACCTCAGGCATAAATTACTCTCAAAACGTTCTTGAAAAAATCTAATTAAATGGCTTTAATTGGTATTATCTAAGCTCAATTGTTGCTTTATATGATTGATATGAGTTTGTACAAGAGTTTTGCATACCTGCACCTAAAAAGGTATGGCATGAATTGCATTGAATCATGTTGATTAATAGCCTATAGTCCCAGTGTTTCCCATACATTGATTCATTTGTGGTGGGCCGCCACAATTAAATAATCGTCCGCCACAAATAGATCTAAAAAAAAAAAAAAACGTTTTACATTTTTTTGGTGGTCTAAACTCTAATGGATAGTGAGGTGGGCTGATGATCGGAAGGTTGCGAGTTCAAATCCCGCCTGGAACACCACCACTAGTGTGCCCTTGAGTAAGGCACTTAGCCCTCAGTTACTCCAGGGAGAATGTCCCTGTAATTGTAAGTCGCTTTGGAATAAGGCGTCTGCTAAATGCCTAAATTGTAAATTATATTTTTGGCAGAATAAACCCCACAGATCCTCAACTCCAGTGTGTCTCATTCAGGGCCGCCCCTCCCTACTCGCAGATCACGCAGACTGCCTCACCTCGCATAGGGGGCCTCACCTCGCATAGGGGGCCTCACCTCGCGGAGGGGGCCTCATCTGAAGCGCAAATGCGGCGCACCTTTATGCGCTTATGCGGATATATGCGCTTATTATGCCGCTTTGTGAGGGGGCCACAAGTTGGCCAGGGGCAGCCCTGGTCTCACAACGCAACACAGAGCAACAAGAACGTTGTCTGCCATGAACTCGCATGTATTTTGTTATTTGAGGGGGTGGTGGATGCGTGGGCATAGTTTAAGGGGCCTTTGGTTTTTCCTGCTGGGGGAAAAAAAAATAGAATCAAATTCTGTGGGAAACACTGAGTCCATATCCATTAAAGGTGAACTATTATGCAAAATCCACTTTTTCATGTCTTTTATACATAAATATGTGTCCCCTCTGTGTAAAGAGATTCTGAAAGTTTCAGGGGAAAATATTTGCTCACTTTTTCTCCTGATCCTTTTATATAAACCTGTCTGAAATTGAGCTGGTCAGATTTTGGCCACTTTATGATTACGATTTTTTGGCTTGTGTAACCATTAGCCAATAACCAACCAAGGTAACCCCCCCCCCACACACCTTATCACCTAAATCTCCTCCTAGAGCACCATTGTGTTCTTTTTAACCAAATATCTCTGAGGGGCGTGGGGAGTGGCTCCTTATTTTCATCTAAAGTAACAGACAGAGAATCAGCACTTTTGAAACAGGACTGAAACAGAGGGGATCATGGGATGCTACAATGCACAATCTGTTTGGTATTTCGAGACATGTTTTGTATATATCTGAGACCTATAATAAAATAATGTAAAACAGTATAATAGGGGACCTTTAATTTTACTGCAGTTGTCCTCTGCCTGTCTGTCTGTCCCCTGTCTGTGTGTCTCAGGCCGATCTCAGCCAGCTGGGCCGGGTGGTGCTGCAGGGGGGCTTCAGCGTGTGGATCAGCCATAAGAGGGCGGCGGTGCGCATGAAGGAGCTGGCCCGGTTCAAACCCATGCAGAGACACCTCTTCCTGTACGAGCTCGCCCTGCTCTTCTGCAAGCGCCGAGACGAGGACAATCACGAAAGGATGCCCTACTACAGCTTCAAGTCCTGCCTCAGAGTGAGAACATATCATATTCATATGTGACTTTTTTAGATACATGTGGCGACATCTAATGCATTCCAATTCAGCCTTCCTGGAATAAATAAAAAATGTACGATATACATTTTTTCTGCTGTATTGTATTTTGTATTGCTGTTGGGCGTGGTTGAAATGTAAATACTTGTCTCTCTTTCTTCAGATGAGTGCAGTGGGAATCACAGAAAATGTGAAAGGAGATGTGAAGAAATTTGAAATCTGGTACAGCGGCAGAGAAGTGGTGTACATTGTTCAGGTATTTCAATCTCTTACTATCTGATCTCTAACTTATTTGCAGTGTTTTAGTGTCTGTACCTTTAGCCCGTTCAAGCAAACTTCTCATGTTGTGGTCCTTGCTGTGTGTGTGTGTGTGTGTGTGTGTGTGTGTGTGTGTGTGTGTGTGTGTGTGTGTGTGTGTGTGTGTGTGTTGTGTGTGTGTGTGTGTGTGTGTGTGTGTGTGTGTGTGTGTGTGTGTGTGTGTGTGTGTGTGTGTGTGTGTGTGTGTGTGTGTGTGTGTGTGTGTGTGTGTGTGTGTGTGTGTGTGTGTGTGTGTGTAGGCTCCCACACTGGAGATCAAAGTTGCCTGGCTGACGGAGATTCGAAAAATTCTCACCAACCAGCAGAAAAATCGCCATGGTTTCTATTACTGTTATATTTTATTTGCTGCCTCTACGTCTTTCATCAAAAAGCCTGATTTTATTATTATTTAACTTGGATTAATCTCATATTCGTTTATGTTAACAAGTAAAATAGAACAGTACATCTATTTTCAACATCTCACAAGTTTCCCATAGAAATATCAGATATTTATGTTCTTATTAAGGTCTTGCAATATAATCATGCTTGTTTTTTGGATTATTCAATGTGTCCCTTGTCCCTTTTCTCAGATGAGGCTCTTACACTTTCAGACAACCCTCTCTCTGACAGGTGATTCTCTTGCATAACCTCCCTATCTTCCTCTGTGTCTGTTTATGACCTTGTGATGCGGTCCAATTACATTCAGATACCAATTTAAAGGTAATACACTAAGAAAAAGTTTCTCTCAGCTAGTGTTTATGATTCAATAACCACTTTAATTTCACCCGCAAGCCACTCTAACTTTGTTTTTACAACAAAACATCATGGTTATATATGCAGGTTGTTGAGTTAATGAACACGTTTGTATGTGAGCAGTGTGTGTATTTGTGGTTGGGTTAGCATTTTTGTCATTACCCTGGAGAACTGGTAATCATGACTATGATGCCAAGTCCTGCAGATGGCTCTAACCCTGTCTGTGGCGCTCTCCATGCTGATGAATTCCAGCTCCATGGAGAGCGCCATACGCAGAACCAAGAGCTTACCTCAACCCTGCATGAGGGCAGTAAATACCTCATTGGGCATCTTAAACAGTCCTTAAATGTTCCAGCAGGTACTGAAATATCATAGGGTTACCTTTTAGATGTTAAGGGTATCTATAGAGACAGTGGCCAAAGTTTAGGTCAATGAAAATGTTTGGAACACCATTAGAGGTTCTCGTAGATTCTGCAGTTGTTATTCAAATGTTTGTTAGCCATTAAAAGCACTGGTTCTCTAGGATACTGTCAGCACTTTAACTTAACAGGGGGTGAGGGGAGGTACCAATATTGGGTTGACTGATAGCATGAGAGCATGTTATACTTTCAATGAATGGTTGAGTCCCGAGCTTCACAATGAACAACTAGTTTGCTCATTAAGGAGGATTATTAACTTTTGCACAAAGTTTATTGTGGGTCAAATCTTTTAAGACCATGGTATAATTTTAAACTCAAAGGATAAAGTTGGTAATATTCTGTAATTATTCTCTTTGACCAAAGTCTATTCAACAAATTCCATGAAACAACCAAAACCAACAATCAAGTATTGTTTAGATATTCAAATGCCTACTGTATGTATCCATTTTCTTTGAGCCAAAGATCTCCAATATTGTCCAAATACAATTAAAAACACATCACTGGTTGACTTCATCACTATGAATAATACTATATTTATTATTTAGTACATTTCACATTCACTGTCCTGCTGCTGTAAATACTAGCAGAGCATATATGTATTATTCTGCAGCTGAAAATAGTCCCAAACAAATGAACTGTTTCTGATGTTAAGGTAACCTTCAACCACAACTACAGCGTTAGTTTTTAGAGGAAATTTGATGTAAGTCTCTTACTAATTTTCTTCATTCGGACACTAACCCATTGTTGGTTTGGGTCTTTAAATGGGGCTTGTTGACTATATAAAATATTAGCTAGCATTATCCTTGAAGTAGATGTATTCACAAGGATGCACAGTTTAAATGTCAAAGTATGTGAGCATGGGATAATCATATTCTGAGATGTTTTGTGGTGTTTGTGATTCTTACTATGAGATGGAGGATCATATAATGAGAATGGTTGAATGATTTGTGAAGGTGTAGGTCATGTAGCATCTGCAAGTAATTTAAGTGTTTCTACTTTATTTACCAGATGGGAAGCTTTAACGTACTTATACAAGGTAACTTTTAAATATCTTAATATTTCTTTCATATGTTGGAATATATTGGAAAAAACTCCACCCATCCAAGACTTAAAGCCACATTGTGGGTTATTTACAGATGCTGGTAAATCAAGGCCTTGTGTGTGTTCAGATTATTGTGTACTTTAATATTTCCATATATTGCAGTGATCTCTGATATAATTGATATTTGGATTATAAACTCAAACATCTTTTGAAATCAGATGCTGAAATATATGTGACTGTGGATTTACAGGAATGCTGTTTTAATTTACAGAATGTGGATGAGCTCGTTTTGTGACACCGTGAATGTTGTTGTTGTTGTTTGTTTTTGTTTGTTGTGGTCGTGTCTTGTTCCCATGGTGATGGGGTTTAGTGCATCAGTGATGTGTGTGTCGTGGGGCGGAGCATCGGTTGGAGGCTGCTCAGCGTGTCTCCCTGTTCCTAACAGCTCCTCAACAACAAGCCACTCCCACATGACTCGAGGGGAGGAGTCTATTTACACAAGCCCCGCCCACTCTGAGCCAGTGGTCAATTCACCTCGACGCAGTGAGTCGCTGAGACAAAGCAGAACACAAACTAATCACTTCTTATCATATTTGTCTTTACAGTCATTAATTCACACAATTTCTTTTGAAAAATGCAAGAAAACATTTGTGGTAAAGACTCCATTTGATGTCGGTTATTCTTTAGCCAGATCTTAGCTAATGTATCTTAACTTTTAACTTGACTTTGTTCTGGAAGTTGTTCCATTGTTCTGACAGAAAACACACTTAGGAGTTAAATATATGATACATAAAATAATTAAAAAACTTAAACACAGAATCATGTCAAATTAATCCTTTGATGGCAATTAATAAAATGAAAAGACTATATTGGATTTTTACAGGCAATCGAGTATCTATATTTAGCACTGCAACTGTCCAATGACACCACTATGAAAATGATCTCACTTCGATTCAATGGCTGCACACATGACTTCAAACAAGCCTAATGGTTTATAAATATTTGAGTAGTTTTCATAATCCCCTGTGTTTCAGTATCATTTCCACAGTGGATCATGGCGTATTAGTGATTAAAAAGTGTAATATTACCTTTTGTAGTAGTCTCATTTTTCTCTCCGCCTGCAGCCTGGCCTGTTCCTGCTCACACCGTGGCGATCTGTGAGGGCCTGGAGGACTGGGGGGCCGCTACAGACCTCTCCAACCTGTCGGACTCAGATGAGGAGGATCAGCCTTCCCCTCTGGTGAGAGTTTACTTCTCATGGCACTGTAGAGGTTATGTTTAGGGGCCTTTATGAAGCCTTGAAGCTGTATCAGCACCGAGACGACAATAGGTGCCATTAAAGAGACGACAATAGGTGTCATTGGAGGCAAACGGAAGTATTCCATGTGAGTGCTCTCTTAACTGGATGATGGGAGTCCTCTAGCATAGGCAACCTTATACAGATGATAAGCTTGGTGGGCAATCACATAGACCAAAACTCAACAGAAATAATTCTGGGATGATGGCATTAAAGCTCGTACCTCAAAAAATTCCAAACAAGTACAATGGAAAGCAACACAAAGCCAGAGTTCCTACTTGCAAATGAATCCATCTTCGCCTACATGAAGCACGTTTTTTATGATTTCACACAACAACTGCAGCACCTATGGAAGCACACATTGTAAATTATATAAATTCTACTATTCAAGGGGAGGGTACGATGTGTTTTTTTGTTAGGCTGGTGAATGGAATATTTGGAAAAGTTTACATGTTAAAGTGCCGTAATTGTTCCCTGTCCGTTTCTTATATAAATGTAAGAAGGCTGCACAGTTTTATGTTTACCAGTTAAGATTGCACCTGAAATGCTTGGAGGTCTGTCAGTTGGAACTTACAACCTGAAATTACAACTTTGTCTGGAACCGAGCATCAATCTAATACTCAATTGGACAAAAAGTGCCTGTTGATTGGCCATCTGCCTTCTGTCTGTGTATCCACAGTCAATATATCTGTCTTTCCATCAATCTATTAAAGAAGATTTAGGGCTGTTGTGCAAGTAGAAATGTATTGAAATTGCCTTTTACTTTTCCTTTTCTTGCCCCAGGTGGTGGGCAGGTACCGGGTCCTGGTAGAGAGCAGCATGGCCAGCACTGATGACATCATCTTCAACTGCGGTGACGTAATCCAGCTGCTGCATGAGGAAATGTCGGGAATGTGGTAAATAAGCTGTTTGTTTCAATAATGTTGATTCAGCCTGGAGTTGAAAGTACTGAACTTATGTTAACATTTCATGCGTCTGTGTTAATGTGTGTGTAATCATAGGATGGTGAGGAATATAAGTCGTAAGGAAGAAGGGCGTGTTTTACCTGAGGACCTGCACAGGATTCTGGGAGAAACCTGCTGAGTGCCAATCAGAATAGAGGATTTAGGACACAAACACAGAATAACAACTTCCTGACCAGAAGGGGGCGTCCGACTCTGCGGAGATCATCAGATCGACGCACATCATCTGCATTTCACTCTTCAAACTACTGTGACACTCTCACTACAGAAGGGTGTAAACTACAGAAGTGACCTCAAAAGATTGTGCAAAACAATGCAAAGCACATACGTGGGACATATATGTATTTATTTTTCTGTTCAAGCTGTAGATCATTTGGATTAAAACTTAGAAATATTCATATGTACAGAATTAGGGATGCACGATATTGGTTTTTTGAAACCGATACCGATAACTTCCTGCTTCTCAAGACCGATACCAAAAAAATTCTTACGCCACTAATTATTTTAACGTGATTAACGCATGTGTATTTTTTTTCCTCGGCCGCCCCGTAGTTTCAGAGCGCATCGAGTTTAAAATACTATCTACAAGCTGATGCTGACAGCCCCGCTCCTGTCGCCCGCTTGTGGTAGACCACACTTCCACGCTCACCGGCAGGCACCGACTGGCCATCTGGAGGACCGGGAGGGTGTGTGTATGTGTGGCCCGAGCGAGCGAGAGAGAGACCTTACGTGCATTGTTGTTGTTAGCATCTGGTGCTAGCTAGCTGCGCTAACGGATATACGGAGCTGTTTAAATGAAAACAGAGGAGCGACATTTCGCCACAACTGCGCCGAGCACTTGACTTTATGCAGGAAGCCAGACAGTGGGACATTGTACGAAAAGTCAGCACACTCAGCACGGATAGTGCGCAACATGATTGCAGCGTCCAGGCAGCTCCGGTTCGAGCATATACCTTGAGTTGCACATAGCTCCAACGCCCATACCACCGACGACATGTTTGTTTACTGTCCTTGCTTCACGGCCGCACACCATTTACGTCACAGCCAGGCATGAGTTAGGGAGCGCTGGATTTGTGAACAACTCCCCTCTTCCTAAACCACTAATACCACAGTACTGGCAAAACAGGAGGAGCCGAGTGAAAAACAAGCGCCCCTCATCCCAATCCACCCACACCGCAGTATTTTTTTCTTTTTTTTAACCCAAAAAATATATTGTATATTATCGGGGCTATTAATACTGGTATCGGGTTTATCGGGATGACGTCATAATTCCTAATATTGGACCGATAATTATCGGGCCGATAATTATCGTGCATCCCTATACAGAATGGACTTATGTTGGAGACTTCAGGTTTTATCATTTCTATTTTCTTATAAAATATGACAGAAATTGTAATGTTCACGTGCCAAATAGCCCAGCTAGTGATTGTGGCTTCTTTTTGTACAACACTGTCAGTTATGGAAAGTAGCTTTACCTTGTGGTGTCAGTTTTCAAAGAAATCTAACTCTGTCTTTCTTTCAAACAGTAGCCGGCTACATCACTATTAGTGTATGCAGATCATGGTTACTCAACCTCTTAGCGCAGCCATTTAGCATCTGGTTGTTTGTTGTTGCGTTCACACATCTGAGGTCTGTACGACGAAGCCGGTTCAACCTAACCTGGATATGTTTGAGTTACCCGGTTGACCTAATCCAAAACAAACGCGCTCTCGCTAAGTGGTCCTACAACGCCGGTTATCAACTCGTTAACTCAAGCCAGCCGTGTCCTATCTAGTTAGGTGCGCATGAAAGGGGTGGTATTTGGAGCATTCGACCAATCACAAACATGGACGTACTGACAGCGCAGCGTGTCATACTTCCTGAATGAAAAGTCAGCTATAATATTAGACAAATATGAAGACGTTGAACTTTAAACATCCATGACTTAAACACTTTATCCAGGATAAAAGCCACAGAGCTGCACCTGCAAGGTGAATACAGCTGGTAAAAGAAAAAGTGTTTGAATGCGTACATTAACAGGTTAATGATATCACTGCCCCGTATAAGACACGAGTGGATCTGACTTTAATTACATTTGACTCGAGTATCAGGCCTCAGAAAACAAAAAACAAAGCAAGAAAACAATATTCAACAGTACTCAGTCAAAGTCTCATCATTCATAGCAGCCGTCATGGTTTGTTTTGCCACTAAGTGGTGTTGGTTAAGGATGTAAATGTGAAAAAGTCATTGAATACTCTTTATAGATATTCATCAACATGTCATAGCAGTAAAAGTGCAGATTTAATTAATAACATTGGCATTGTATGCCTTGGTCTGGTGCATGGGGCCTCATTCATGTTTTTAATTCCACTTGTGTTTCTCCTGCTAAGACAATACAAGTGAAGATGTCTCCTGAAAAAAGGTCTACTGAAGCCATAACAAAGTATCTTCTGCAGCACTCTGTCAGCCCTCAAGAGGAATAATCTGAGTCTGAGGAAAGCACTGCAGTACTTATGTAGGATTGATTTCTGATGATATTTCTGCATCTCTTTGGTGAAATGCGCATCGTCCTTCTCTTCTGTGCAGCTGTCGTGCTCCACTGGGAAGACACAGTTTATGTTCCTGTTTGTTTGCTGCTCTGCATGAACAAATCACTGCAAATGCCTACTGCTTTATTTCTGCCTACGCTGCTATTTCATAACAACAAGGGAACTGTGCTCTGGGTTCGGTTGCAACTAGAGTAGATATAATTGCCAGCTGATGTTTTACGGACATTGTGTTGTGATATATGACTGATGTTTCATCTGGGAAGCTGATTTAATAAGACCTTTAAAACTGTCCAGCCAGATTTCCTCTGCAATGCAAAGTGGTAATGAAAACACTGCCACTTTACCGCCATATGTGCTGAGGTTAAATGATGGATAAAAGTATTTAGTTACGTAAGCGTTTCTCCTAGTTGTGAATATGTAAATAGTACAAATCTAAATTTTACATGTTAAACACAGTGTTGGACATAAGGTGTCTTAATGGTGAAACTTTTATTAGACAGTTCTCATCTATCAAGTGACAAAAGCTACATCAGATTAATGCAGTATTTCCTGCATCTCTGGACTTAGAAAATCCCTCAAATAAGATTATTTTTCACAGTAGTTAACACCCATAAGTCACTTGATAGTAAGTGCCCAACTGTCTTTTAAGGTGAGACTGATGAAACTCATAGGCTATATGGGTAACATTTCACCGTGTTTAAATGAATTGAAATCCACCTAACAGATGCTATACTGTAACATCAGACAACATGCTTAATGGTCAGGCTGTAAAATGTCTTTGCACAGTACATGAACTGCTGTTTGCTGCTTTTGCTCATTTTGCACTTTTTGGATATTTTTGAATCATTGTGAAAGCTTGTATTATAATGCATATGATTATTTTCCCAAATATAAGCACAGGATCATTTGATTTGATTCAACCTGACTGGTGTGATTCCTTCACTGCATAGTTTAGGCAGATTCATAAAGTGAATGCAGGCTTGTTTATCCCTCCTGTTGGGGTGTACATGGTGAGCTTGATTGGCATCTCCCTAACTCTGATATTAGATAAGTTGCACAGGACAGCGTACAACGTTATGATCCCAATGACATTAGGAAGACCACAGTGTGTTTAATCAGTTTAAACCAGGGTGGCACTTTAACTGCAATGTTAGTGAGCATTCGTTAACCACACAGTTAATTACACCGTGGTTTTCTGGTTTTTATAATATCTGCTGTGAGAAAAAAGAAATATTAACTTTAAAAAATATATATATATTTTACCAATATAATTTAAAAGGGAGGGTGAGTTTGGGCTTTAATTTAAGGTGTATTGATTGCACAGCATGTTGTTGTTTAGAGAACAAAATAAAAGGAGAAGGTGCAATGCTAGCAGCCAAATGAACATTATTATTATATTGTATATTCCTGCTCAAGTGTAATTTCTTCCCAGTAGGCAAGTAAAGGTTTGGCTTTGGTATCTCAGGTCTGTATGCAGCTTTATGGAGCTTTAACATATCTTTTAATTTAAGACATAGCTCTTCCTATTTCTGAGCAGAGGTATAATCAGCTTCTGCTCAATTTGGCATAGCATCTCAACTGCATTTAATATTACCTCCTGCACACAACTGCAATTCAAACATTGGATGAAGAGCAATTTTTCTGTTTGGCAATATTTTAAGAGAAACATTCAAATGCTCAGATATTTGAATTACCTTTATTGAAGAATCCACATTAACATCATTCAGTAGTTCACTTCCTCTGCATGTTTTCATGACAGCTGTGTTACGCGGTCAGTTCTTAACTCGAAGGCCTGTTTTCTGACTGATCCACGCGTAGTACCTTGAGACTCGAGTGTAGACTCCGTACTTCCCGTCCGCGGCGCAATTCTCCCCCCAGCTGACGATGCCGGTCAGGAACCAAGTGTCTTTATATTTGGTGAAATGGGGCCCCCCACTGTCCCCCTGGCACGAGTCCTTCATCTCACTCGAGTACCCGGCACAGAACATGTAGCGCGTGACGACCGTGGCGTGGTCCCGGCTGCTCTGTTTGCACAGGGTCCGGTCCACGTAAGGGACCTCCAGCTTCTGGAGCCTGGTGGCCTCGAGGCCCTGAAACCTCAACCTGCCCCAGCCACTCACCGTGGAGCTGCTCGAGTCCCTCAAGAGGTTTTCTATAAAGTCTTTGGGGCCGAAGCAGATGGGACGGCGCTCGTTGGACAGTTCCACTGGATTGGCGAGCTTCAGCAGAGCAATATCGTGGTTAAACTTGGACTTCTTGTCATTGTACAAGGGGTGGATGTGCTGCTCTGCAACCAAATGGTCTCGCTCCGGACCCTCGTCCTTGTTCACATCATGTTCACCTAGAATAATCAAATAATTGATATGCAACTACATGACTTTCTGCACAAGGAAATGTGTGAGAAGGGACAAATGTCTTCTGATCTTAAAGGTCAAAGCTTTACTGAATGCAAGCTCTGCATTTCCACACAATAACAAAAAGCATTGATAAATTCACGGTTGGATTATCTTTTTTAAGCAACTACAGGGTTATTTTTTCATTCATAAACTTTAACCAAAAATTGGCACAGAGAAAAGTAACATTTTTGAAATTGGTCAGCAGTAATTTGAAGGTCTAAGATGTGTCAAACTCAAGGCCCGGGGGCCAAATCAGGCCCTTGGTAGATTTAATTTCGGCCCGCAGGATAATTTTAAATTACTATTAGATCTAGGTATATTGCAAGCACACCTTCACTCAATCCTGAGGGTTTCCTCAGCTCAGAACCTGAGCCCAAACATTGATGAACTTGCACCCAAGATGAGATGCCAAGTATCTGGCTTGAACTAGTATCACAGCAGCAAACTGAGTTTAAATGGATGTTTCCTTCTGCACTTTTTTTCTTGCAACAACATGGCATGTTTGTTTTTTTCTTTGAGGGAAATATTTTTTTTGAAGCTGTTGTCCTGTGGAAAAATGTAATCATAAGAAATGACTGGCAAAGCTGCTGATAGAGCCATAAGAAATTGATGCAACTGATTATTTAAAGGTCCCATGTCATGCTTTTCCGATTATTACCCGTCCCCTTGTGTGTTATGAAGGTTTGTATGCATGTAAACGGTCTGCAGAGTCAAAAACCCTCAAAGTACACCCTGTAGGGAGTAAAACTCTTAACACAGAAAAGACCTCCCCAAAACGCCTCGTTGTAGATTTCTCATTTACTTCCTTCCCAGTAGCCACACCCAGAGCTATAGCCGCACCCTCTGCCAGCCTTTCATGAAACAAAGCTCCCCAAACCTTTCAGCGATTCATGCCGGATATGTACAGCGTAGGGCACTGAAGAACGATGCTGTTCCTACTTTGTTTGGACCAGCAGGAGATTCGGGTACACAACCTGTAAGTATTCATTGTTGTTTGTGTATTTATGGTGTTTAAAACAAACAAGGTATCTACCACGACTGTTTAAATGCGTAAACGTTTTTCGGTCTACTATGTTGGGATCGCGGATAAATGGTTTCCGCAGACCCATGCTCACAGCGTTATAAACCTTTTTCTTACTCAATATCAAGCCACACTTATTGTTTTTACTTCGGCTGTGAGTGTTTGTGTGTGCTCAGGATGAGTTTCGCTTGTTCTAGCTGTATCGCCGACACGGAAGCCTGTCTGCTCTTCGCAGCAACGAGCCTCTCACGTCGCGACCAATCAGAGCACACTGGGCTCACAGGGAGGGGGGGGGGGGGGGGGGGCAGGAGCTCCAACAAGCCGTTTAGGACAGAGAGTGAATACCGGTGAATACACATACTTTACAGAGATGCTGTATGAGAAACCAATGTGAGTTTGGAAAATTGCACAATATAAATCTATTTTAGTATACCTCAACAATGGAATTATGATCAGTAGAAATGGCCATGATATGGGATCTTTAATGTTGTTTTTATAGGCAATAATTTAAGCTTTGTTAGTTCCAGGTTTAATATGTGCAATAAGTTAATTTCAAAACATTTTGCAATAAACATTGAACCAGTCCGGCCCTCGACTAGTACTGATTTTTTTATTTTGGCCCACTGTGTATTTGAGTTTGACACCCCTGCTCTAGGGTTTAAACATGCAAATGACCTACTGACCTGGACCTTTAAAACTAAATTACAAATAAACATTAAACGTTACAATTGAGACTTAAGAGATGCAGATCAGATATGAAACATATGAATATAGTGATAACACTTGTTTTTCCTACCAGCTCTGACAAAGAAACCACTTTTAGAGTTATCCGACGGCAACAGACAATGGGCAGCGGTGATGACCCATAACTCAGTGAGAAGAGATCCTCCACAGAACGGCTGCGCTCTATGAAGGACGGTTGAGTGAAACATCAGGGCCACCTGCAAACAAACAAACAAACAAACAAACAAACAAACAAATAGTACAGGTACAACATTGCAGAGCCCGTTCTATACTCTGAGATGATCCCAATTTCCCTTCCACACCACTGTAGTCTATCTTTTAAATATCTTTGTATTGTTTCACAGTGGCCTCTGTGCCTTCAAAAGGGAAAATCCGGATGTTTAAAAATCTCATGATCCTACATATATTTGGGAGACATTTGCGACAGATAAAACTCTGAAACCCTTGCATACTCCTCTAAATGTCCCTTAATTCCACTTAACAGTTCATCAATCTTTTCCACCTCTGATCACTTTAACCTATATTTCCTTCCCCACAGTGAAGAAAGTATGAAGATATTTGAACAAAAATCTGCCCTGCCGAGTGAAAACCACCCTAGAAGAGAACATTGGGATATCCACCCAACTGCATCCTGTCTATGAACACCATCCATTTGCCTTCAACTCATCCCCATGTCTTTATTCTTCACCCCACTAAAGTACCTGCCAAGGTATTTCTCCAGGAATGGCCTCATTGCCTCCCACAATCCTCGTGCCAATTTCTTTTTTCTCTATGATGGTGGGGAGTGTGGGGAAGAAAGACCAGGATGGCAGTAGCTCTTTCTCTGAGGCCACTTCAGAGACATCACTCTGCTCGAAGCTTGAATCCGACCTCACTGATCTGATCTTTGCTGCAGAGGCCAGAGAGATGTTGGACAGGTCTGAGTCATTTGTACGGAGGTTGTAGTCATCATAAAACTCCATTAGATCATCCTCATAGAGGTAATCCTGCAGGGTGTCGCTGGAATTGTCTTTTCTCTCAGAGCTGTGTGTTGTGTTTAATGACCGCGGGGTTTGGAGGAACCTGGTGTCCACGCGGCCACAGCTGAATGGTTCTGAGGGGAAAACAAAGAGGGATTCATTTGAGTTTTGTCTCATAAACATGATTAAATATTACAGTGTCAGATTGTTGGGCCCTTTAGTTATTGTTTCTTATAAAAATGTTTACATAGTTTTCCACAATGCGCAGATTCAACCAAAAGCTATTCGAATCGATTCGCTATTATTCACACAGAAAGACAGAAACAATATGCATATATCTCATTTCAAGTGGTATATTAGAAGACAGTGTGGAAATTAATGTAGGCCTATCTCAGAAATCTAGAGGCTTCACATTTTATTGTGTTTGCCCTTTAGTGTAGCTATCAGTCTGATTGATTGAAGTGTAGGGAAACTGGTTAGGTTTTAATTAGGAATGGTACGTTCAAGCAGTAGGTTAGAAAGGGGTTGTGGTAAAGGTCAGGGTCATTAGAGACCGTTGCATTTTTTTATGTTGAGTGGCTGAGATATCACTTATTTTCAAATGCTAGTTGTCTGTGTGGTAATCCACCCAGAGAGTTCCCGCTGTCAACCCCGCCTATAAATAATGTTCTTTATTCGACAACTATCAACTGTACGTCATGGTTTATGAGGCAGTTTATGATCACTTAATGGAGACCAAAGAGATGAGAGTTTAAAAGACAGCGTGGAAATCACTCTTAAGATCTGGTGGGGAACTATCTGTGGGTCAGAGTGAGAGGGGGGGGGGAATATTCAGTGAACTCAAGTAGCTAAACATACTGCACTTACATAGAATGTTGGAGTTCTATACTTGAGTAATACCACGTTCTGGTACTTTATACCTCTGCTTAATTATATTTTAGAGGCAAATCTTGTACCTTTTACTTCTTCTACGTGGATTTTGACTTTGCAGATTCATATCATTCAAACAAAAATATAACTAATTAACAATGATGTATTATTATAGAATAACATGTAGCAGTCTAGAACAGTCTAAATAGTTTATATTAGATCAACTGTTACCAACTGCATTTTTTAAATAATACTTACACATACTGCATATGCATCAATATTTGTAATCCTATATTACAATACTAATATTCTCAAATGGGCCGTTTCCCATGAGTAATTTCACTTTTGAAGGTAGTCCTTTTGTACTTTATTTTGAGGAAATGTTTGTATACAAGACTTCCCCTAAAGTAGAACAATAAAATATAAAAGTATTTGTACACTGAAGCTCTGTTTTCATATTTATAGTTTAAAATAGAGCATAGCATTCAGGGCATGTTGAGAGACAGAAAACTAATACACACATTCAAAATGAACTTAATATATTACCAAAACTCCTGAACAAACACTTAGCTAACTTTCTTCTTATCATTTTATTGTACCTCTAGGTTCACAGCTCCTCTTGTCTGGCCCCAGTCTGTAACCGGCCGCACACTGACACACGGGTTGATCTTTCTTCATGGAACAGAAATGGGAGCATCCACCATTGTTGACCGAACACTGCTCGGTCACCTCTGAAAACAGGCGGAAAAGCAGGATACATCTACAAAAGTAAGTACTGCATCTCTACATACAATACAATTATCCTTAATTTTCTTAGCCCCCACATAGTTGTTCCGGCCTGTCCCACTCACCAATCTCACAGTCCTTGCCGTCAAAATTTGGTTGGCACCAGCAGACATAGTTGTTGACCCCGTCTTCACACGAAGCTCCATTTTGGCAGGGGGGAGGCTGACACTGGTCCCCATCTACAGTACACACAAGTACAAAACACACACACACACACACACACACACACACACACACACACACACACACACACACACACACACACACACACACACACACACACACACACACACACACACACACACACACACACACACAGGTTCAGAGGTGACCCTTTAAATTCATAGCGACTGTGAAAACGCATCCTTCACTTGTCTTACCGATGTAGCTGGCCCAGAAAGTCATCTAAAACAGAAAGAAAGACGGTAATTAGAAACCTGTGAGTTCTGCTATTAAACACACTGTATTACAGCTGTGTGTGTGTGTGTGTTACGTACAGTTTGTTCAATATCCTCAAACACCTCCCTGGCCTCCTCCATGGAGCAGGTTTCCTCTCTACACTCCCGCTCCAGGTTAGCTGTTTTAAACACTTCTTCTAAAGGGGTGTTGAACCTGCGGATGCGACGCAGCACCGTGTCCGCCTGCCTCTGAGACACAAACACGGCTCCTGGAGAGATAACGTCAAGAGGAATTTATTAAATTATTGATTGATATTGATATTATTCCCCGGCATAATTCTTAATACGTTTTTACAGATTTGTGTGTATCAGAACTAAATCCTGCTGTACATCTGCTTTCTGGGAGAGTCCATTATAAGTGTTAAGATAGCAGTTGCTTCTTGTAGTCTTAAACTGTGGCTGGAAAAGTTGTAGTTTATGAGGAACAGCAGCTTGCCTTTAAGCTTCTCAAACCATAGATTTTACACACTTAGCCATATTTTGAAGAAACCATATTTCAGCACATCTTATCACTAAGTTTTCTGTCCTCTATGAGACACACTTTTACCACCACATTTCAAATACAGGGGATTTTGATCATCAAAACATACATATTTATATTTTTGAAGCGTCATTTTAAGACTTGGGGTATAGGAAATCAAGCCATTTAAAAAGACCCACCTAACCTCCAGCTTCTTAGTTTAGTTTTATGTCTCTGACCTTCCTCCTCCTCCTCCTCCTCAATCCATACCTTCTCCTCTTTGTGTTACCTGTGTTTTCCTCAGCGATGACAGCGGCCAGTCCGTACTCCTTCAGCAGTATACCAGCGATGAAAGTCAGTAAACAAACTCCGGCCATCTTGTTGTTGTCAGTTGTCCTTCTGCTGTTGACTGAAGAGCTGAAGCCTGAACTCAGCGCTGGAGAAACAGATCCACCACTCCAAAGTACAAAAACGCACTGTTTACTCACCTGAGAGGCGGTAGGATGTGTGTGTGTGTGTGTGTGTGTGTGTGTGTGTGTGTGTGTGTGTGTGTGTGTGTGTGTGTGTGTGTGTGTGTGTGTGGTGTGTGTGTGTGTGTGTGTGTGTGTGTGTGTGTGTGTGTGTGTGTGTGTGTGTGTGTGTGTGTGTGTGTGTGTGTGTGTGTGTGTGTGTGTGTGTGTGTGTGTGTGTGTGTGTGTGTGTGTGTGTGTGTGTGTGTGTGTGTGTGGGAGAGAGAGTAAGCACAGTGAAAATGTGATTTGAATCACTTTTGAATATGTGTATTCAGAGAATGATACAAAGTGACTTTAGTGAGAGAATGTAATTCAGAAATCAAGTTGAAATTCTGCAATAACAAATACTGACCGCTGATGGCAAAGAAGGGCAGTTTTGGAAATAGTTGTGTGCGTGTGTGGGTGTTTGTTGACATTAGCAGATGCTGGACGTGTTGTTTTTTTAATGTGTCTTGTCCGATAAGCAGCTTTTGCAGCATGGCTTACGTGACGTTTCAAATGGGGTCCAGATTTTAAACTGTATCACCATTTGAGTGGACAAATGTTACTGTAAATCCAGGCAAATCAGCTCAATGCCATTTAGATACAGCGTAAGAGGCCGAAAACTCCTCGATTGGTGCTTCCATTTACACATCGAGGCAAAGAACAGCCAAAATCCACGCTTGGCTTGAGTATTGAAGGCTGTTTGATCAGACTGTGAGTTACACAGGGTGTGGCTGCGGACAAATCACAGTGACGGACAGCCCGGTCAGCTGGCCTTTGAGCCAGCAGCCTCTTGGCAACGGAGGCCTTGTAGTGACTTATTGGCTAAGGCTGATTTAAATGAGGGTTGCATTTATCTTTTTAGGTCAACTTTTGCAGGCCATTAAATTCACCCTCCCTTGCAAATTACACATTTTACAGCAGAAGAAAATATGTGAGGTGTTGTGGAAATAATTATCATAAGACGCCAATTAGTAACATACAGGACAAACCTCGATGTCTGTTTACCTTCTTTAAGGACACAGGCGGCTTAGCCAATAATGTTATTGTTCCCATTCTGTGACCGGTCAATACTGGGATACAGATGGTCTGTGTTGTGGGTACACTGGGACACTTCCTTCTCTGTATTTGTGGACTCCAAGGTAAAATCTTCGAGGTCATAAGTGTCCGAGGCAAGTAGCTCTGTGTTCCCACACTGTTTAGGCTATCTCCTCAAATATGTTGTTTACTCTCTGCGAAACCAGTTAGATGGGCTGGCAAGAGAGAGGCTCTCCAGAATTGACGTGGCAACTCTACCGTGGAGTCAGAACCTCTGACTCTTGGATTTGTGATGTGAATACTCTGGTACCAACTCCAAATAAATCACAGTGGTTTGACATCAAAGCTCCGACTCTTCCCGTGTCTCCTTCCTGAGTCGGTGACTCCACTGCATGCTACACAGAAGTTTCCTCTACATGAGGGAAGATAACAATTAATACAAACAGTTTTGTTTAAATCACTCCCTGCTCTTTAGGGTCCTGGGATCAGATCTGTGTTCTGTGGCTCAGCAGTGGAGGAGGGGGCCGCTCAGGGTCTCACATGAAAACACAGAGAGAGAGAAAGGGAGGGCAGAGGGGGTTAAACCAGGGAAAGCATGCTGGTCGGAAAGCTTGTCCCCAGGGTGTAAAGTCCCATCCAGACTGTGGATTGTTATATGAGCGCTTTTCAAGTTGAAGTAGATCAGCATATAATCTGGTTTTCTTTGTTGTGAAAAAAATCATTTGAAGTAACAACGGGCAGAAAAACACAACATCATGGCTGACAATTGTTTGTTATTGTGCATTGTATCTTCATTTGTCCTATTACCACACGCAACATCTATAATCTTTCTTTTTTTTATGTTTAGACATTACTTGACATTATTATTATTACATGTCACTTGTTAGACGCTTTTATCCAAAGCGACTTACATACTCAATACTGTGGGCAATCCCCACAGGAGCAATTGTCTTGCCCAGGGACACAACGACATGCTGACTGCAGTGGGGTTTGAACCTGGTCCGAACACCAACGCACAACCCACTGCACCACAGCCTCCCCATGTATGACATGTATGCTTTTCTTAAACAAGTACTCTATATTTGGCTCGATTTTTAAATGCACCATTTGTTAACCTCTCTATAGTCATTCAATGGTAGAGTTTGGGTGACATGAATGCAGAGATGGTGTAATGAAGACCCCGAGATCAGGTCAATAACCTTTTTCTTTCTATCATGTAACCCTTTCATAAATCAATAAAACAAATCTGCCCACTCCTTCCCGGCATAATCAAACAGCAGCGTACGACTCGTGAGGTCAACGGAGTGGTGAACAGCTGACCTGAGACCAGCTCACAGTGCGAAGCAATTAAGAAGCAAAATATGATTAATACACCTGAGGATATGGCACGAACATATTTCAGAGGCAGTTTAATTAAACACCCCTGCATTGCTTGAAACGTTGTCGTTCCTGATCTTACTTGTGTGATTTAACTGCGTATATGTTACACAAAGGAGATTTAAACATACATTATTTTGCAACTACGTCCAAGTAGAAAATGATTCTATGTGTGAAAGTATGTTCACTTCACATGCAAGTTGAGTGCCCTGTTTGTTTGAATGTTTGAATATGTTCTGCTGAGCAGTCACACTTTTTGTTCTCATAGAGCAGCTGGTCCCAGAACAGTAATCCTGCAGGAGAGGCTCAGGCAGAGAGCCAGCTGTGCTTTAGTTTGACGGTTCATTTAGTAGCAGTCAAAAAGCCACAACAACTGGATCCCATAGACCTGTTATGCGAGAGAGAGAAACACTTAAAGTTAAGATTTACAAACCGCATAAGTGGGTGGTGCAGTTATGAGGCATAAATCTAAAGCATGACACTTCTTGGTGCAACTCATTATTTTAAAGATCTGCAGTGCTTGGGGATGTAAAAGGAAAACACTGCAGCACACAGAGCGGTGACTATAAGAGGAAACTGTTTCAGAGGGAGGCGGTGTGTAGCCTCAATGCTGTGATTTTCTTTTTGTAGCCTAGAGTTTTTTTATGGTATATTTAACAGTTACAAGAGATAAATAAATGTTTACTTATTCTCTTTACTTGATGTAAGGGAGATGTGGTTTATTACGTTTGTTTAATAACATTTAAATTGTATTTTATGTGTTTTTTATGACAATTTTTGTGCAATTTGTGGATCTTTAGTTTCCTAATGGACCATATTGGGTACACCTAATTTTGTGATGACTAAACATTGTTTACTTAATAAAGATTTTTAGAGGCATTACATTAACTCAGTGTGTAGAAGCCATGAAAACTGTAGGGTGTTCACAGTTTGTCTTCATGAGCAAAATCAATGTATTTTCATAATGGAAAACATACAGGAATTCAACAGCAACTGTCAAACCAACAAGTAATTTAAGCTTTATGTATTAAGGTAGTCTTGTTTGAGATCAATTACAAATCTATACATATTCAAATCAGTTGCCAACAGAGTAACAGTCAGAAAACACAGAATCTGTCAGTGGGACAATTATTGATTCTAACATCCAGCTTATAAAATCACTAATGGTAACAACAGATCAGCGAGATGTAAAGTAAACATCCTAAACTTCAATCTCTGACGCAGATACAAAAGAAAATTGGGGCTACTTCCAGTCGTCCGGTCCTTTTGTGCCATATAGCCGGGTGATGTAGGACAACTTGAACCAAATGGTGCTGCAGAAGAGAAAAGGAGAGAAGAGAAAGTAAATCAGAATTTAGTATAAAGAGTCAGCAGAAATGTAAAAGAAAACAGAGCAGGGAACATAATATTATAGTCCCGTCACACTTTTCTTTATATTAACAGAGAGAGAGAGAGTTGCAGGATGGTATTGTTATGCTGGGTTAAGTTGTAATGTACCATTTCAATATAATTGTCACTCGTTTTACAAGAGTTAGTCGATAAAAGAGATTTCTACTGCGACAGTGTATAAGAAATAGATTTGCACTGCGACAGTATATAGTATAAGAGATTCACACTGTGACGATAAGAAAGAGATGTGTACTGTGACACATATGAAACCTCATTTAAACCTCAAAATATACTATATCCAATAATAAGCATGAAGCTGTGAAACACACAGGCACACTGAGGAAGCAGCATTCTTCAGGCAAGATGAAATGTCAGTGTATCCCACTACCGCCTAGGTAAAAAAGCCATTTTATTGCACACATTGATTTAATGATCAATGAACTGACACATCTGCATAATGTAAGATCGCTGAGTTTGCAGGTGAATCTGCAATTATCGGATTGAAGACAACCTCGTGAATGTGGTGACCTTCTTTAAGTCAGCGAGAGCTAGCACGTGCATCCTGTACCCCCCCCTCCCAGGAGAATCTATTTAACTCTGCCTTATTATGTAGATGGGAATCAGTGTCAGCAGGGGTTTCAGTTTATAGTGACATACTTTCTTACAAAGCAAAAAGCAAGTTGATAAGAGTTAACTATCCAAATTATTGGGCTGATGTTTATTATTCATTACTCAGTTGAAACCCATTACATTACATTTATAATTGCAGAAATTAAGGGAGCATGTGTATCACTTTCTAATAACCCATCAAGTATGAGTAAGACTCACTCGGTCATAAAAAGGTGAAAGCTTACAGGTCTAAATGATTGATAAAGAGCCATTGGTGCCTTAATTAAGTCGTAAATAAACAGTGGTAATAAATGCCCCACTGTCTAATAGGCCTTTAGACAACATTGCAGTCTGAAACGTTAACAAACCAATAGACGTCACAACAACAAACCATAACGTTGTTAATCCTAATTTTTATCAATTTTGTCAAAGAATTTCCATATCACATTAGATGTTCTTACTCTAAGAACAGCTCTATAATTACGCATTATTATCAGTTATTAACAAAGCCTACAGTTACAGCCTTTTATAAATGGTTGCCTTA